TTTCACTCTCATTTATTTACATATGGTTTAAATTGCAGCTAATAATGGCATATAAATTGACGTAGAATAAATGTATACGATTGAAACAGATCGTTTTTATATTACATAATGCACTTATAATGTGTGATGTTGAATATCAATGTTTACTTTAGGCTTCAATTATTCCTGTATTTTGTTAACCAATGTTTAGAAACTGCGGACATAAATAGTTACTCTGATGGTTTGTATACAGTTGTTATGTACGAAATAGTGATTACTTCCCTATTTTAGAATTATTTTCTATAAACACGAGATATCCAAATATTGTCGATGTAATAAAAGTTGCAACAAGTTCAACTTTATTTTTATTGAAAGTGCTTTACATAACGTAATATATAGGTTTGAACTTTTCAGTTGTTAAAGCTATAATATTTGATCTTGTATAAATAAAGACCGGTGTTTAATGACACCTGCTAAAACGCTCCCAACAAAGTAGAAATTTTTAAAACACTTATCAAATTAATTGATAACTTTGATTTATAACATAACATAAACAGTATTCATCCGCGCTTGATTCTAAAAATGGTTAAGTAGTTCCCTCACTACAGTAAAAGAAAAGGCAGTCTTTATGTTATGATCATTTGCACTGTAAAATCTTCCTGGACTATAAGTTCTTAGTTATATTGTAAAATCATCTGTAATTCAAAGTTTCATATCTTTGTAAGACAGCCTATTTTGTATAGACAGCTTTACTGTTAATTCATATGTATTTTAATTCAAAGCTCCTTACAAATATTGTCACACAGCCTATATTGTATGGTCTTCTGCACTGTTGAATAATCTGCATTTCAAAGTTCCACAGTCCTTATTGTATGGCCATCTGCATTATTGAATCATCTGCTTTTTCAAAGATTCACAGTCCTTATTATATGGTCTTCTGCACTATTGAATAATCTGCATTTCAAAGATTCACAGTCCTTATTATATGGTCTTCTGCACTATTGAATAATCTGCATTTCAAAGATTCACAGTCCTTATTGTATGGTCATCTGCATTGTGGAATCATCTGCTTTTTCAAAGATTCACAGTCCTTTTTGTATGGTCTTCTGCACTGTTGAATCATCTGCATTTCTAAGATTCACAGTCCTTATTGTATGGTCTTCTGCATTGTGGAATCATCTGCATTTCAAAGATTCACAGTCCTTATTATATGGTCATTTGCACTGTGTTTCAATGTAATCTGTATTGTAAGACATCCTCAGTGTATTATATGGTCATCTGTACCGTTAAATCATTTGTATTTCAATGCAATCTATATTGTAAGCCAGCTTCGGTGTATTGTATGGTCATCTGGTTTGATAAATCATCTGTATTTCAATGTGATATGTGTTGCAAGAGAGCCTGTGTTTTTAACAAATTAGCAGTTACAAATTTGAAACGTGCTCGAACTTTTGCCCTGTTTCTGACCCCAAATCTTAAATCATTTTATCGATGGTGGTACATTGTAATTTTTTATTATGACAAACGCCTGTTATTGACTTTTTTCGCAGTTTATATTTGCTTTATGAAAATTGATCCATTAGACAATTCTTACTAGAAAGGAAAGGGACATGGCAAAATTGATTGAACAAAGATCATAATAAAATTATATCCTTACAGTTTGAAAGTTAAAAAGAGTAAGTTAATACCTACCAATTTTAAACAAATTATATTAATAGTTTTCAAACCTTGAATAGGAACTGTTGATCATTTGATATGTGAAATGCGAGCTTCTCTGCCTATCGATTCTTTATAAATGGGGGTAACTTAGTTTATGTGTTTTCAATAAATTATGGTGTCTCTATACAGCGGTATAGTATTTAATCATTTCGGACCAATTATACATTGTCATGGAACCATGAAGTTGAATTTGATATCCTTTTCAACGTGTTTTCTTTCTGACTTAAACATTCTACCTCGTATTCGTAACAGCGCTCTGAACATATCTGATTCGTTAAATGCTTAAAGTCGTTTTGCTTAGCTCAGTCAATGGTTTATTAAATAGTTTTCGGAAGTGATTTTCATCGGTCAATGAGTCTGTGTAGCATTGGAAGATTAAAAAATACACATGGTTACGTGTTATATATTGATTGATAAACAATGGAGAGTTTATTATTTCATAAGGAATGTTTTAGTTAGAGATTAGGATTAGCAAATTAACCGTTCTGTATTAAACGGTCAATGTCAATAGTTGAAAAATAAAAAAGGAACTTTTGACAGTTCATTATTAATTTGTGATTATCAACGTAAGCATACTTGAAATGAAAAATCTGAAAAATATTAAAGGAGTTAACAAGAAAAATGTTGGTAAAAGGTAATTTGTTTTAAATTTCTGTTTCTTTTAGTTTAGCTTAATATTTGTAGGTCTTCCTTTTATCCATTTTTTTTTGGTCAAAATACTAATGCTTCAATCAGCCTTGTAACATTTATATTGTAAGCAAATGCTCTTACATACATGTATGACTTTAGTCATTGTCATTGGAAGTTCTTGTTTTCTTTTTTTCAAATAATTGATTCGAAGTTTTATAATAATAAAAAACTCATTTTCTTTGACATGTCTGTACTCCGCACCAGGGATTGTTTTATTTTAACTAGACTATCAAGTACGACTATATATAATACAAGAAACCTACATTGAGGTTTGTAACCAGCTCACCATTGCTAAAATTATAGTGAGCTATGTAACGCTAGATATGCTGACAGAGAAATGTTACTGATTAAATATTGAACGAAATCATCATACATTGTAGTACACACCTATTGGCTTATATTGCTTATGTTAGAATTCTATACCATTCGTATCGAATTATAATCTCTTTGATTTCTTTTTACTCAGCATCTATTTCAATGAAGTCCATGTTACTTTAAATGAAATGGTGACGTTGGTATAATTGGAATAATTCCTAAGGGGTTACGTAGCCGTCCGCTTCATTAACGGTCTTGTTATAGTTTATAAAATATGTAGAACAGTTCGAGGATCATAGAAAAATGTCGCCAAGACCACATGCCACCTTAGAAACAATTATACCATTGGAATTTTTAATGTCTTAATGACAACATATATCGTAAATAGATATTGATAAACAGAGTTCAATATTATTTGGTTAAATATGGATAAGTTAATGGACGTAGATAAGTACATGTTTAACAGTTCTTGTTTAAATTATATATACAGTTCTATATTTTATGTTCGCTATCGTAAGCAACTGTTAGGATTTAGCGATAAACGAGTAAATCTTGTATAATTTTAAGAAATAAACGCAAGAGTTCTGTATAGAAAAATGGTGTGTGATAAAGTATTGTTATTAGAATAGAAAAGTTTTTAACATGGCAATATCTACATATTTAGCCAGTTCTATATAGGTAATATTCTAAACAAGGAGAATTTAGAGCTATAAATAATGAAAAAGTAGAATGTTTCCAAAAAAATCTGCATTGACATTTTTTTAATAACTGTTTAGAGAAATTTCAGATTCATAATTTTTACTCTTCATCTATTTGTTTTATTCCCGCTATCAATATTTTGATTTTACATACTTTGTTTAATGTATACCAACAAAGTAAAGGAATGTCAACAGGTTGATACTGTCTTTGATCTGTTGTCATTTGTGATCCTTGAAACATTCTTAAAATTGATTATACGTTTGCTGATTTTTTTTGCATATGCCTCCGACTATTCATCAACAAAGTACTTAAAAACTTTTCTTTGTAGAGATTTAATTTCTACTGGCATGATAAGAAATAGTGCAGTCAATCGTGAAATTCATATTTTATAAAGAATGATCAAGATTTTATTGAATAACAACACAGATCGGCTTACTGTCTAGTAATAGATAATTGACTATTGCAACATGGAGGAAGTTTTTAGCATAGACAAAGTAAACTTCAAACATTTAATAACCACACTTTTGTCGCAGCTGAAAATTGATCCATTCTTATTGTATAATTTGATAGATAATTTATGAAACTCGACTTTGAATAAACCTATTTTAACAAAGATACACTACCTGAATCCTGACATTTTTACTTGACATTCACTGTCGACCGCTATATTCAGTTTATTTATATTTCCTTTACAAAACTTTTCAATAATTAATTTGTCTATAAAATCTATTGAAGACTATTGTCGTTGGCAGGAACATAAATTGTTCAATTGAGACATTACATAAAACATGTTGTATACAAATATCATATAACATTGACAACTACAAATAGGACCAAAGTAATTTCTTTTTTCTATACTTCACGTTATATACTAGCTCGAAATTATCTACAATTTATATTACTGTGCATTTGTTAAAATCTTACAATTTCATAGAATAAATTCTTCACTAGTTGTTAGCTTTAGTTGTATTGATATTTGACTCAAAAGTTTGAGCCCCTTTATATTTTATATATAATTATCTCATGTAGCAAATCAATAGAGACCAAGAACCCAGCGTTAAGCAACAAAATATTTTGTCACGCACATATGACAGTTGAGTGTGTGAACTGTATCTTTGAATTTGTTTTCTTACTTATCTGTAAACCGAAATTTGTGTTGAAGTATGTCGACTTTAAAATTTATCAACGTTTGACTTTATTTAGTTTACCATTGTCCTTGTAAAAGAATGTTAATTTGTTTACACAATTCATTGTTTACCAACATTTTTATTTGTTTATATATATTTATTTATCAATATTTTTGTTTACCAATATTTGTGTTTGTTTGGAATTTATTAACGTTTTCTAACATTACCTGTATATTTGCTGACATTATTATTATCAGTGCACCAGTCTATGAGATTGATTGTATATTTTACCCCTATATATTTATTTTTACCTATCTATTTGTTTCCCTATTGATTTGTGTACTTTTATATTTGTTTACCAGTCTGTTTTTACTTATATAACTATGTACCTATATATTTATGTATTTTTAGTTGTTTTTTGTTTTCCGGTATATAGTTTATGTATACATTTGTTATCCTACATAATTACAGGAGCGAGACAAGTGGAGGGAGTATGAGGAAAGATAACACGTGGAACGTGTCCGTGAACACAGAGAGACCAACCCTGGAGGACGACGCACAGTACGTATATTTATTTATATTGTCATACAGATAAACCAGTTAACTGTACCGTCAAACATGGGTTAATGACAGTCGGTCTGTACCGTCAAACATGGGTTAATGACGGTCAGTCAGTACAGTCAAACATGGGTTAATGACGGTCAGTCAGTACAGTCAAACATGGGTTAATGACAGTCGGTCTGTACCGTCAAACATGGGTTAATGACAGCCGGTCAGCACACTCAAACATGGGTAAATGACAGTCGGTCTGTACCGTCAAACATGAGTTAATGACAGTCGGTCTGTACAGTCAAACATGGGTTAATGACAGTCGGTCTGTACAGTCAAACATGGGTTAATGACAGTCGGTCTGTACAGTCAAACATGGGTTAATGACAGTCGGTCTGTACAGTCAAACATGGGTTAATGACAGTCGGTCTGTACAGTCAAACATGGGTTAATGACAGTCGGTCTTTACAGTCAAACATGGGTTAATGACAGTCGGTTTGTGCAGTCAAACATGGGTTTATGACAGCCAGTCAGCACAGTCAAACATGGGTTAATGACGGTCGGTCAGCACAGTCAAACATGGGTTAATGACGACCTCCGTATAAAGTACATGTATAGGAAACTTGTAACCACTACAAGTCAACATTTTGCTAAGAATACTTTTATACCCCTGAAGCCACTAATGTGAGTTAAATGAAAACTTCACATCAAGTTTTGTTGTAACAATCTAGATTACACTTTCTATCTTGCCCCCCCCCCCCCCCCCCCTGTCTTTCTCTCTGTCCGTGCTTATATTTTGGATTCTTAGATTTTTACAAGAAGTGTAGGTAAATGTACTTTTCTTTCATCGAAAGATATTTTGTGACTATGTTTTCTCTTCTAGATGTTATCTTGATAACAAAATGCCGTTCCTTTGATGTATTTTAATCCCGGCATATTTAATCAAATCACAGATTCGAGTAAGGGAGAAAAGTTGTCTATTCTTTTACTTAAACGTTTTCTTAATGAAACTAGCTTTAGAAATATTGACACAGCTATGTCTCTAAGAAATGACCGGTTTAAGAAAAACACACACACAAAAACAACAAACAAACAACTCGGATTTGAAATAGCGACATCGTACTTATAATTTGATCGCCTATTTTGATGTAGGATGAGATATATTACTTTAATAAAATACCTTTATAATTTGTCAAAGTATTTCTACACTAGGCTCTTTTGTTGTAAGTGTATACTAATTGTGTCATGTTTTGTATTTGTGCTACAACCGTGAAGTTATTTACCCAACGTACTGTACTTTATGTTACTATAAGCATTTAATTAAAGAAATTACAAATTAAAAAACCATGACAGAGACATGTTTCAGTGTTTAAGACACACGGATATTTTACAGCAAAAAGTTGATAAAGAGGGGTAAGGGATACTTCTGTTGTATATTTTCTATTTTTGTTGATAATTGTTGAAGAGTTAAGGTAGATTGGTTCTTAAATCACGAAATAAATATTTTGAAATTCTTAATTGTTGCTCTTTATCTGTCGTCTGCTTCGTTTAAAACACTCAAATTGACCACCTTCATCAAACACTTTACAGGGTGATAAATAAGTACATGTACTTTCTTTATAGCTTAAAAATCTTATCATGAGTTCTAATATAGAAATTACGAAGCCCCGGAACATTGTTTATAGTCTGATATTCATATGTGGAAACATTATGTTTCTTATAATTTCAGTTTAAAAGTAAGTTACTCGCCGGGAAAGAAGGGCGGTAACTTTGGACTCCCTCTCGGCGCAAAACTGATTGTGCCTGAAAGCATCTTCAACAAGAAGGACAACATCACATGCGAAGTAGCGCCACCTACACAACGATGGAAATACACTCCGGTTCTTCCGGTTCACGAACATTTAACAAGCGAGATTTTTCTGTTTTCATCGTCAGTCAGTATTCTGAAAAAGGCCGTAGTTATCCAAATTCCATATTACCCAATAGACCCCGAACATTCCGAAATTAATGTCAAGGGGAAATGGAAGGATGAAAACGAATGGGTCGATGTTGGTTTTTTGAAAAAGGTATATATACTCTAAATGTAGATGACATTTTGTGTGTATGTGCGTGCGTGCGTGCGTTTGGTGTGTGTGTGTGTGTGTGTGTGTGTGTTATTTATGTAATGTACTAGCCTTCATGTTGCATTATTTTACACAGCACAACCAAATTAGTCCTGAATATAATGCAGAGAATATTACAACATTTTAAACGAAAGCCTTCCATATCCTTTTACATAAAGATATACAATGTATGTATTGATGTTATAATATGTCAGTTTGTAAATTTCGTCAGAATTCAACTCGCGGCTATTTACAAGCTTATAAACTTTGAAAACCACTTGAACGGTTTATTTTGTGATGTACATGTATATTAATCAAATGATTTCTTGATTATGCTCAAAACAAATTATCTACAATATCACCGCGTTTGTTATAAATTATAAACTGGTTAACAAATTATTTGGTATCGGCAATAATTGGGTAATGCCCTTGTCAAAAATGTTTTAATACTTGATATAGTATTACTAATTTTCTATACATAAAATCATTTTTTGTTTGTGTCTACAACCTTATGCCGTATTTGTGAATGAACGAACTTAGAGTATCGGGTAGCGAGTTACAATAATGTCCATTGTTCATAAAGTTGATTAAACTTTTAATAACGAAAAGGTAAACAATAAGTGAATTATATACATTATTATTAAACGTCCGTTTTTAGAGTAATCAGACACCACTATTAGTAAAATAACTAGTTTACTAAATATACATTTATTTTCTTTGGGACGAAAATAGATTTCTAGTTAAATCTAGTAACCAATCTCTATTTGAATCACACTTTTGCTGAGTTTTTTCATGTAGATGTATATTTTCAGGAGGGTGGGAAGTCACCATGTGTAGAGCTAGAGATCGACCGACTCGGCATGTTTGTTGTGACCTTTACCCCGAAGAAGGAGATATTTGATGTGACTGTTCAGGGATGTCTGTACAACTCGAGACTTAGCAAATATATAAGCATTAGATTCCCGAAAAAGACAACAGACAAGAACTTTCAATGTACAATACAGGTATTTTGTAAACATGTCTTTATATATATATATATAAAAAAAAAAAAAAAAAAAAAAAAAAAAACAACAACAACAAAAACAAAGAAAGACTCAAATTCTATTGCATGTCTTCGTAAACTTCTATGACGACATTTGTATGTGTTGATGTCATTATTGATGTAATTTATCAGATGAACGAAATAAAGGCAGTAAATCCAATGATTTTAGACGATAGAAATTTAGAAAAAAATACTTCAGCTTATTTATGAATTTATTGTTAAGTCATGAAATGTTCATTATTGTTTTATTTCAGATAAACCCTATTTCACCTGAGAAAGTTCAGTTGGCTAAACAGAATTTTCCCCACGAGACAAACGAGCTACTGGAAACCTCGGAGTTTATCGATATACTACCAGAACACCAAATAACATTCAAAAGAGCCGTGTCAGTGAAATTACCACTTCCTGCTGGCTTTGAGGAAAGTGAAGAAAAAAAGGTGAAAAGAAACACGCAAATCTTTGTTTTGATGACTATAGCATGGACGTACATAACGTGTTTCAGTTATAGATCTTTTTGCAAATAGATTATTAGCCCCTTAGATTGAATGTTGACATTATAAAACCAAAATAATTCCAATGTAGACTAAAATATTAATTGATTTTCCTGAAAAAAAAAAAACAACAACAAAAAACAACAAAAAACAAAAGCAAAAAACAATTGCTCTTTAGAGGCATGCAGCTTTAAGAAATCTGTTGTTTTTTTCCAGATGTCAAATGTTAACTTGCTCTTTGAGTCATTGCTCGTTTTTTTTACATGCTAAATTTATGGAGTAACATTTACTTTACATTCGTTTACAACTCTTATTGTTTATTTGTTCTTGCAGACAGATGATATAGCAGTACTTCAGAAGAGCGCCAGTGGATGGGTTGTAGTAGAAGGGGCATATAAATTCACACGGACAACGGTGACATTCGATGTTAAAACATTGTCAACGTTAGCTGATTCTTTATTAAAAACATATTTATTTAAGCTCATTTCGAAGCAAGTTCTTGCAACTTATATTAATATCAATAACTTTCGAGTCCGTTTCCTGGAACCAACCAGTACTGGTGTCATATGGAGAGACATGGTTGTGACCAGATTAGGGCTCGAACCAATGATATCTGGATTGAGAAGCAGGCACATTAACCACTAGACAACCGCTTCCCGTTGATTATGCAATATGTGCCTAATATCTTTAATTATTTATTATTGAGAGATTGTTTCAGACATTTTGTTTTAATTTTAATGTCCGTTTCTTTTGTTGTTGTTGTTGTTTGAATGTTTGTTTTAAAGGTTTGTTCATTCTAAAGAAGTTCTTAAATCTTATCTCTCTTATTTCAGTGACACTAAACTGCTTTATTTACTAACAAAAAAAGGAAAATAAAAAAAGGGCAAAATAACAACAAAAAAGAAGCAAACAACTAATGTCCGAGTGTTCTCGTGCCTTTGATAGTTAAACAAATATTAATTAGCCTGTTTTACATAGTAGAAATACTCTCAACTTTCCCTTTAAATTATCTACTGTGAATTTCAGGTTTTGTGTCGCTCTGTCCAAACCAAACAGAAAAACTGCCCTACATAGATCTATAACGGTGCTAGAAGGTCGCGTAAGCAAAGAAATGGGTGAAATACTTGTATTTATAAACTTGCAAGAAAAATTATGGGTTGTCGTTCTTGAATGTTGCCCCATTAATAGAAAGGAAGAAAAAGTCGCGGAAAGAAAAGAAAAGGGATATCAGTTAATAGACAAATCTCAGGTTCACAAAGAGGAGGAAAAGAAGCCAGCATTTAGTTCAAGGCGACCACCTCCTCCAAGTCATAAACAAAAAGCACCAGAAGTCAACGGGTTTGAAATATTTGACGGAATGAAGTGGGGTATAGAAGTTACTGAAGACATTAAAGTGAGCTTTGAAAGTGATTATCTTGACAATAAAGAATTGCAATTTTTCAAATTTTTACCAGAAAGTTATAGACGTTTTGTGATCGAGCCAAAAACAAATGAAGAGAAAGAACTGATTGGCAATATAAGCTTTGTTCCTGTAGATTCTACGGATCAGTTAGCAAAGTTTGCATCTACTATAAAATTCAAAGTTGAAATACCGGAGGAAAATGTTAGAGCTTATTTCAAACCAGAGTTTGTACCAGAAGAGCCCAAACCTGAAAAGGAGAAACCTAAGATAGAGTTTGATTTAAATATCAAAGAACAAGAAAAGAAGGACGAACCTTCAGTCCCTAAATTCAAACCTTTACCATCAACGGTAATGGAACGATTAATGAGAACCAGCCGGAAACCAATTATTTGTAAGTTTTTATTCTCTAATTAAGATATGTTGTTATTACTTATGTTTGAAGGCAATGCGATATAATACTTATTTTTCATGTCTAAAACATTTGCATGTTTAAACCAACGAGTTCAGTCTTTAATTACAATAATTATGCTTTCGGTGAAAATAGTTTTAAACCAATATAAAATTACATTAGGATGTACATGTAAACAAACTTTGAACCATGCAATAAGTGTTTTGTTTGTTAAACACATATAATAAATGGGGACTTATTCATTATCCTTTATTTGTACATGTACTTCGAACAATATACAAATATATACATTTATTTTTAGCGTTGATATTTCCTGATTTTTAATGATGCAAGTAAAGGAGATTAAAAATTATCACCACTATCAGCAGCAGCAACTACAGCATATATAACTAAAAAAAAACAACTGCATAGTTAAAATTTATTTTTTATAATGTAGAAAAAACACACATTTTGTTTTGGGGGAGGGGGGACATCAGTCAAAGTATAAATATTCATCACAGAGCTATATGTCATACACGTCTCTGTTCCATTCTTATATATATATACGATTGAATGTGACAAAATGTTAAGTTATTATTTAGAACCTATGTTATGAGAATAACATATCGTAAGAATTTATTATTATAAGAATGGCGGGGATCAAGTAAATATTTGCTTCGTAAATAATTATATTTTTTTTATTAAATACTGTAAACATATGTAAATAGCGTTCAGCTGAAAGGGGGTGATAAAAATGACAAATATATTCAATTTTACTTCTTTACGTATCTTAACCAAACAATGAAACATACGAAAGTAGATATAGGGATTTATTATTCACAATTTCCTAAAACAGATAGATAAAATCTTCAAAGAGGACCGTTTATCTTTATTACCATATAGAGAGCATGTTTCGACACTTGAAATAAATAAATGACACTTCAAATCATGTAGTAACATTTTCTGAAGACGATATCATGTAAACAGTGCTTATTCCGCTGGTATTCCCTTTGCTAGTTAATTTGATTTTTGTTATTATTTACTTTTTGTTTTAAATCTACCCAATGGAACATACATTTTGTATTGTTCTATTCATTATGTTATATAGTGTATTAGGTTTACCTTATTGTTATTGATTGAGTGGTTCGAACTATAATCAGATGTTAATGTATCATGAGAAATACAGTCCAGCTATTAAAGCAAGATGATGTAATCCATGTATCCAAATTATTATATTTCAGTGGAAAAAGAGTCTCGAATTTTGTCTGGCAAAAGTTTGATGACTTTATCAAGGCTGGTACCAGAAGGTCTCACACTAGCAGTCCACTTAGACCTGCCAGATAGTACTATTACTGGACTTGGGTTTGATGCCATATCTAACGGTCTTGGAATGGTTGACGTCACGTACAAGATTCTACTTTACTGGAAACGCCAGATGAAAGACAAAAAGGACGGCGCTGTGAACGTACTGTCGATGGCGTTACGTGACATGGGTCGCGACGATATAGCGGCTGTCGTTACTGAAAAACATAAAGAAAATAAAGATTTGACTTTAGATTGCTTTATGAGATAATGGTGATGTTTAACATGATTCAAGTTTATTAAACTAGTGGAATTATTGTTAACTTATTATCTTAACGAGGTTTCACAAAAATATTTCTTTTTTTTTGTTCTATTTTTGTGAAGAAGGAAAGATGGTGAATGGTGGTACAATTTCTCAGTTAAGTGTGATTTTTAAGCATTTTAATCAGCAATACAACATCCTATTTATTTGATTCACGTCTTGTGTAAATTCATATACGTCATTATTACACTGTGGTAGTGAAATTGGTCTGTTAAAATATGAAAATTTTAAATGAATCGCTTTAAGATTTTCTGTACATATTCACCAATTAATGTGACCTATCATCATTAGTCATTGTAGTAAATTAATTCTACAAAAGTGGAAACCCAGAAATATATATATAAACAACTTAATAACAAAAGATTGCCAGATTTAATGTTGATATCTTTCTGGGTTTCCAGTTTTGTCCGTCGGGAAATGTTTATGTTCGCCAGAAAAAAGCTGATTTCGAACGATCGCCATTCTTTTTGTTTGCTTCACAGTATTCAACATATTTCAACATAAGTTACACTATTATGTACGTCTCCGATTGTATCCAAAATGAACTCTTTGTTTACAGATATGTAAGATAGTTGAAATAAATATGCAGAAAGAACTGTACTGATATTCTATTGAAAATATTTGCGTTTCAGTCTCTTCATAAAAGGAACCAAGAACTTTCTTATTCAGAGTAATAAATCACGTAGAAATAAGCGGCTCTATTGTTTCATATTACATCATCACAACTACCGCATTTATAAATGTTTGGATTGTGTTATTATTTATTTTCACTGCCTGTTTCACATGAATATTCAGTAAGAAGAAAATGGTCGTTACACGTATATTCATAGTAAGTGAATATATGAATAAATATGTAACCAGGTGATATATTCTACTATAAATATATCATTAAGAGTTATAATATTTTTCTGAAGGTAAACACAAATGTGCATTTAACTTTATTTTCTGTGTATGTTTACTGTTTTAAATGACTATGAAATAATTATTTATTTTTCATTTATACTTATGTCATTACTGCAAGCATTCCATATAAATAAATATTGAAATTTGTTGTCATTTTAAGTTTTGATGTACAGTACCATTTACCTTTACCAGTTAATTCATTTGTACACGAATCATCCGGAAAGATCACCCTTAAAAGTTGTGTATTGAATGAAATTAGGCATGACACCAGTGAAAATACGGAATATATGTTTCACTGCAGTGAATTTTTTTTACAGTAAAATTACGGGGAATGAAAATACGCATTTTATTTCATCAATAGTTCTCAATATTTCATATATAAGTACAACAATGTATATAATTAATGATTATAATTAAAACATTTGCACTTCAACTAATTCAATAGACCTTGTTAAACGATGCGCTACGTTGCCATAAAAAAATCAAGAAAATGAAGCACGTTCATAGAAATTCAATGTCAATTCAGAACATAAATGATCAAATATTAAATAGGCTTATTCACCAACTTATGGAGAGCAAAACTTGACATCAGTTATTTTGTAAAAAGACAGCAGAGATGCCATCCAAAAGAAAGGGGAAAAAAGTTGGAAAAAACTGTGTCTACAACGCATACAGAGGTTGAAGTACCTGAAGCTGAAAATGCATCAGCTGAAGATTTTTTCTACTCTCATTTAACAAATAATCCATGCTCATGGTCATTCATTAAACAAAATGAACCCTGACTCTAACGTAGCTCTGCCTGTTTTACCGTAGTGACATCGTGTCATCACCGGGGCTTTGCCGTCTGGATATTGATTAACACCCATCCCGGTTTGCTACGGTTTGTCACGGTATGGATGCGGTATAGATACGGTGGTTCCCCGGCGATTCCCGTTGCCAAGCCGATAGAACACGGTTCTGGGATTCCTTCCCGATGAGTGCTTGTGAGTCCTGGTTGCATTAAACATTTTAATACAATCGTGGCGATCTCCCGGTTTGACCCGGTTCACCACGGTTTGTCCTGGTACTTCACGGAATCGATACGGCCCTACGCCGGTTTACCACGGTTGATCCCGGTGGACTAAACCGTGGTAAACCGGGACGCCAAACTGGGACTATGTAAATGGGGCTTTACGTATCCTGCTTTCTTTATTCATGGTGCAGATATGTCCCTGGGGATTGATATTGTTAAAAGCTGTAACATTGGATCACTTGTCTATCTTTATAACACCTACCAGCCTAACATCCACAAAACCAAAAGAAATGTGTTCAATATGTATATGTAGTCAATGCTTAGTGAGGGTGCCCATGCGTCTGTTAAAATACAAAAAGCGGCTTTTGCTGTCGAGTACGGACCACAGACAGTTCGCCAGTAATGCCTTTGAAGGGTTAATTTTGAAGCACAAAGTGGTGATAATTTACCTCCATGCAATTTTCAGAGTACCTGTATTAGCCAAATATATGAATTTTGAAACGAAAGTAGGGTACTGTACAGCGGTCAATGAGTACCTAAATACCGGACAATGTATTTTTAGGTACGTATTTTTCTGATATATTTTGTATTTTTAGGAACACATATCCAGATATCGTATTTTAAGCATTCAGTGGTTTCATTTATTGCTTTTATACATTTTTCTTACGTCAGAACCGAATGCATTGTCATCAGAAATGTTAACCTTTTTTGACATTTTGCATCACTTTGTATAAAATGCATTTTTTACTCTAATAATATATCTTATGAATTAGATCAAAATAGTTAAATAATGATTAATTCTGTTTAAAATGTTTCTTTCTGTATAACATTTTTTTGCTTTTGCAATACACATAGCTGTATAAATTTATAACAAATGACGATGTCTCGTATCATATCATTATATATGATAACTCCGATATGAAATAATTGTTTCACTATGAAGATTTGTGTACATTTTAAATCTCCAAAGAAACTTTTATATATCATTCCTCGCATATTTTACACTCACTTTATACTTGTACAATGAGCGTGTGATATTCATACAGAAAGAACAAAAACTATTATATTATTTTGTTTTGACGGCCTTGTGTGATTGTCTCCCTTATTGAGAAAATATAAAATGATACCCAACTCGGAATTTACTTCTCCAAATCCCTCCAGAGGCGTGCACGTCGCCGAGAAGGCACACGGCAGGTCAAGGTCAAGTCATCTCAAGTACCAGAGGTGATTGGTTGACCTGTCGTGACTAACTCTGGAGGGTTGGCGCTAACGTTACGAAGGTCGGTTTTGTTATCGTCGGTCAGAAAGCTGATGCATTGACAGTATTGTCGTCTCCTTTACCAACAACGAATGAAGACTGGGCTACCAGAAGATTCGGCTTGAAAAAGACGTCCCAGATGTGACTACCGTAGTGGACCGGCAGGATGCTATAATCTTGGACATATGGTTATTCCGGCGCCGAGTATAAACAAACTTAAACACACATACATACTTGCGTATAGACAGTAGTACTAGTGCTAAAAGACAATGAACTGAAATTATCCAGCGTTCGTGGGAGTGCGCTGGCATACATTTGAAACCTTCCTTATCCAAATTTTAAAATATTCAAACTAAGGATAATACAAATAATTTAAAGGGTACAGTTAAAATGATAGTAATTCTCACATTTTCATATTCTTTTAGCGTGTTACTCAAGGCAATGTCCATACATTGTAATATATACAAATTCGACTTGATCGACTTACGTGTATACTTTCTGCTTGCAGTTTACTTATTAAATGATTTCTTTATGAATATTGAATAAGGATAATTCATAAATACCGGTATCTTTATGGAAGAAATATTTTTTGTATATTTCGTGCATGTACAGAATCAAAACCATACTTAAAATAGCAGCATAATGCTTTTATTCTGTTCACGTAAATATTTAATTCAGAAAGCTAACAGACTTATTCTATGTTACAACTCTTTGTTTGGAAACAACATGATTTAGCCGTTTTAGATTTTATAAAAAGAAACCATTTCATATAGCTATACACCTTGTAAATGCCCTATGGAAATGAATGAAAAAAGGAAATAAAACGGTTGGTAAAAGTTTGCTTAAAAACATTTCCAAAAAAAAAATTCATTTGAAAAATACATAGTTACAGGAATATATTTTATTGTTATGCCATTCTTTATCATCTAATTTCACGGCTCCACTTCAAAATTGTGGTATATGGTAAAACGAGCGAACGGCATTTCCGAGAAAGAGCGGAAGGCTGATTTAAACGGCTAATTGTAAGTTTTGTTTATGTTTTTGTCTTGTAATTCAATTAAGTTTTTTTTTTCAAAAATTGATCAATGTAGTTCCGTGTACGATTGTTTTAGGCTTCTAATGATCTAAGCCACAGGTGAACGTCGAGTGGACATGACTTACACTATACACCCGTTCCCCCTCTACAACCCAAAACCCTTAAACATCATCCAAACATCATAAGTATTGACAAAAATAAATTTTATGAAAAAAAAATTTTATGACTTTAAAAAATTATAAAGGTATTTTACTCTAATTTCATTTTGCATAGAAATATCACAAGCATCTCAATTATCAGCGCATATATTGATCAATTTTTCACCGATCTTTACAATCCTGGTGTCAAATCTTAGATAAATAAATACTTTTTAAGGAAACAACACCCACACCTGATTATACGAAGCAAGTAATATTCAAGCCCAAACTGTCAACAAATAAAACTCGGAAGAGATCTGATTGCACTGTTTCGGTATAACTCTCACGAGTAAAACACACTAAATTCACAGTGAATGAATATTTCTTTGTATTGCGTATTTAAATAATTATGATAAAATTAAATTATTATTTGTAATAATTGTTCAATCAAAGCATCATTGGCGTCCGCGCCGAAGCGCGGCGCCCCTTATGGAATGAAATCAGATTTTGTGAAAGGGCGACAGCAACTTCTCGAGCCTTTTAGTCGGTCATGATAAAAGCCGATCATTCCGATCGGTATGAGGGTGCTTGATTATTAATTAAGAATGAAATGTCGCGATATGTACAATGAATAGCGAACTGGAGAATTTCGCAATGCAAACATTTTCAAATGAAATAACCTTTTCCGTCAATCAATCGCGCTCTTCGGGGTTTTTTATTTATCATTTTATAGTACACAGTGGGTTATTATGTAATGTTATTGTTGTACATGTATCCGAAAGCTGTAAATAGAATGATTAATCCTATCGGTAATTCCCGGTCTCTCCCGGTCTATTTTGACCGGGATTTACTAGTGACCAGCGAATAGTATCACACGTTTATTGTCCGGTCTGTTCCGATTTTGGAGTAGATGTTTGATATCGTTACAGAACAGAACAAATATTTTACAGATAAATAAGCTTTTTTTCCAAAATGAATATTTGTCACTTAGTTTGGTTACACTCAGATTATTGATTATTATTATACATAAACATACAATTAAAAAAAAACCCAACAACAACAACAACAACAATAGCATGTTTCATTTTATCTTTATGAGATAAAAACAATAAATATGTACAATGATTGAGAAAAAAGGTACATTTTTATGGTATTAATATGACATTATCAATTTTTAAACATTTTATTTAATGTTTAGTGTTTAGTAAAGATGACGAGGAATTATGCAAAGTTACAAATTAGATTTTATGAATTATTCAATTGATAGTTTAAAAAATGATAAAGAAAAATACAAATGTACATGCCATTGGTTTAAGAATAAACAATATTATATATTGAAAGATTAACCATAATTTACTGACTTTTATTTCAGTTTTGATATGACAATTGAATTCTTAAAATTTATTTTACAATTTTAATAACAAAAGAGTAGTAAACGTAAAAACTCAGTATTAAAAAAGCACATAAAAACAAAAGAAAAGAAAACAATATTCATAAAATCTGTATTTTTTTATTATTAAAATAGATATTACAATTATTGTATAATAAAACTATTATGCTCAACATGATCAACATGGTAATATGACCAGTGTCATATTTTTACTAAGACTTAGTGTGAACAGATACCTTAAGAGCTAATAGCGATAACATAATAAGGGACAATTTCACAAGTGTGGTGTTGATCATGCGTTACACATATGAATTATAAATGATTGTATACATGTATATCCGTTACTATTAATAATCACGATCATAAAGAATAATTAACAAGTAATATTCTAATCTCTAGCATGCCAATCAAAGTTCATAATGAACTATGTTTTTCGTCCGTTCATTCATAAGTGATATACAATTCTGGTAAAAACCAATTAACCATTGAAAAGATTATAAGAATATCTTGTCATCATATGTCTACTAGTTCATCGTCACTTGCTGCATTTCTTGCTTGGACGCCCTTTGATGTTTTGCATCAATGCTTTTCTTGTATGAAACTATAACGCACCTTTTTTCCGATATGTCAAATTCTCAATCCAAAATGAAAGTAAAATGGTGCAGCAGATTGTCTTCAAATGGAGTATTTTCATTGGTCACATGAAAACCTCGGACCAATGAAAATACTCCATACAAAAGCAAAGGGAAACAAATCTGCTGTGCCTTTTACTTTCATTTTGGATTGAGAATTTAACATATAGGAAAAAGGTGCGTTATAGTTTCATATGATGCTTTGATTGAACAATTATTTCAAATAATAATTTAATTTTATCATATTTAAATACGCAATACAAAGAAATATTCATTCTAACTACTAACCCAGTATACTCAGTACACTTCAATGAGCATTTGAAAACTATATTGAAATATAGCAGTACAGTTTTTTTCATTTATTCATATAGGAAAAAACTCGACTGTTATATAGCGGTTGAGTTTTTTTTCCACAGAGACTCCAATGGGGCAGTGGAAACGAACATTCCCAGTAGCAAAGAAAAAAAATGGAATCAATAAAATAAAATAAATACAATGAAAAATATAAACAAAGATAATTAATGAAATGAAATTTACTCTCATTTAATCAAAAGGTACATCCGCTGAATGAATTATTTCCATTAAAAAAAGCCCTTTAATATTGGTAACAGTTTACAATCCGCCTCAAACATTGGATGTCTTTTGTATATCTGTTTTTGTGGCAGCGAAAACAACATGAAAAACCCTGCCTTATCATAAATAACTGTAATGTAGCTAACGATTTATTTATTTATTTGTTTATTTATTTATTTCTATTACAAAAAAGAGAACGTTATGCCATTGCGATAAAACAGTTATAGTATATGAAACGAGTTAGTTACGAGGATATAACACTGGCTGGGCGACATCTCGGGATGTTTCTGCAAAAATTGTCTCGGCCTAACGGCCTCGCCATTTTTTAGCAGAAACATCCCTTGATGTCGCCCCAGCCAGTGTTATATCCTCGTAACTACCTCGTTTCGTGTACTATAACTATTACATAATACTTCTACCAATGACAATACAATAAAGTCGATTTAAAAGTCATATCCAACGTAACTATCAGCAAGCAAGAAACACGCTCATAAGCTTTGATAAATATTATCCATTGTGTATCATTGTGTGGGGTGTTCACTTGTGGTATGTTTCTAGTGAAAGAATTGAATATAAACATCTACTACCGTAATGTTTTCTAGCTTAATTTGTAGATATATCATTTATTTGTGTGTTTGCTCATGTTCAGTTTTTAATTAATTCGAACATCAAAAACTAGGATGGTTGTTTAACTACTGTTCATCTATATTTCTGAATCATTGAAACTATAGAAATATTGATTTGTTAAGTGTCAGACTTTTAACGTTATCAATAGTAAGCAATGAAACAATGGATTCTTATTTTCAGTTCAGAAAAATGTTACATGCTGAGCTCAGGTTTTAACGAGTATTTACATCTAAACGTAATTATAATTAATTAGAGCTATTACACTTTGAGTTTTTTTTTTAATTTGCCGCCCGATAGAAAAAAAAACATATTTCTCTTTCGAGTTTGTAGTGTTTGCAGAAGGGATCCATTACTTTGGGCACGTCGTAGAAGCTCTCTCGAAACATTCTCAATTATGTTGTGGTCTTGGGATTCTACTTTAGAAAGTATTTATTTATTGAGTTTCTGTGTACACCTAATCTTCTGGCAACCTTAGCGAAATAAATATCGATCAATTCTCCATTAAATTAACCAAACTCTTGACGTAGACATGATGACCAGTTATTCAGTATAGATTTGTAGAACAACAACAACAACAACATTAACAACAACAATAATAATAATAATAATAATGAGCGATTGTCATTCATTGCACATGAGAGAAACTAAAACTTTCACACTAACTCACACGCACGCACGCGCGCACGCGTACATACACACACACACACACACACACATTTATCCGATACTCTCAAATAAGTGACTGATGTGTTCATTTGATATAAAATTCATAATTTTCATATATTTTTATACAAAAAATTTTTTTATATAACCGCCAACGATTAAATTGTCAATTATACATGTAATTGTTAATTTTTAATTATTAAAAAAAAAAAAAACACAGTGAGATTACTTACGTTTTTCTAAGGGTTTTAAGTGTCTTCCGGTAATTTCATCAAATTTGATATCGACAAAACGTTCTCGTTTATAAACTTGCTATTAAAATTTTGATTTGATTTAACTAAAATCACATTCGGAATTTAACATTTTGCCAAATGAATTTTGTTTCAATCGTAACCGACATTAATCACCTAAAAACGATATACACGAGGGTAGAAAACTTTGAGTACTGTAGGAGCAGTAGTCCAGTGGTAGGACGCGCGCTTAGGGATCGAGAGGTCCCGGGTTCGAACTCCACCAGGGGCACTGCTAATTTCCTTGAGCAAGAAATTTACCTGCGATTGCTTCACTTCACCCAGGTGTAAATGGGTACCTGCGAGGATGGTATAATTTAAAGTGTCGGCTGCACTAAGCGGAGTTAAAAGACTCCCCAGGGAGATTGACAGATAGATACTAGTAGCCCGATGACCAGGGGTAATAGCTGTAAAGTCGGTGAACGTGCGTAAGCATGAAACCTAGACTATAAAATGCAATTTAATTTTTACTGTATGTTTGTACGTGATGGTGTCAATGAATTTCATAGTGAAATTGTATGGAATGATGGGTAAACCTTATTTTGAAAACGTCAATATGGGTTAAAAAAAACTATTAATTATATTATTGATAATTATCATTCTTAACAATTATATATCTTTTTCAAAAGTAAAACAGTACGTTATGTCAAAAATATAACAAAAATAGATCCACTGAGATCCAAAAATGACATGTTTCATGAAAACTGTAGTCCAAGAATAATTGAAATAGGTACTCTAGTCAACGTTATTAAGAATAAGAAAACAATTGAGCATATTTCATTAAGGAATTTATTTTCAGTCAAAAGTTGAAAGGATATAACGAAATCTTGGCAAAATAAATTTGTCACGTGTGGTCAACCATCCTGCTTGCAAAAGGTGAAATAAAATAAAACACAGAAATGATTATGCAGATACATATAAAAGTTAACCCGATGAGCATAACAAAAGTACGAAAAATATTCAAGGATGAGTAGCAAGAAAATTAACTTAAAGGGTCTGACGAAGCAGTGTAGAAAAATGTATTTGAAATAAACAAGCTATGAATTATGACCAATTTAGTTTCAAAAAGAATCGGATGGAAAATACCTTTAAGACAATGACTAGAATATTTCAGGGATAAAATAATGCGGAAAAAGTCTTAAATTTGACGACTATCTTAATCTCATTTTCACAAATGCATTTAACAGTAACAAGGTCTTAATGCAAGAGTATCTACCTCTATGGATGAAATATGTGGCCCTAAAAAAGGCAGGTCTGACCCTAGTGGATGGGGCTGGGTTTTTGTATCACACGTTATTTATGGTAAAGTGGACCTCTTTTTACACTTAACAAAAAGTTAATATTGCACGTTAAAATCAGGCCATAAGCTTATAATACCATGTTTGAAATCTAATAAATCAATCCTTGATATTTACAAATTATTTAAACAGAAACATGATAACTAACTAAATTTGACATCACTGTACTCAACACCGCACTTATTGTGCTACTAATTATATTATAGTATAACAAAAAACTTATCTTTCAGAAAAAGCCGTTCCTAGTCAAATGTGATATGCAAACCACATAGCCTAATAAACTTATTGATTTGAAAATACTATTTGGCTGTCGAGTTTAATATTTCATTAAAACATAAGAATTTCCTTCCAAAGGTTATAAAGCAACAACGCCCTTTTCACAGCTTTAATTTAAGATATAGAACAATTTTAACATAATACCATTAACAATAACAATTCATGTCCATATAAACATATAATATAGCAAGCATGCCAATTATCCTTTCAATTCAAGTAAGGTCTATAAGTTCTATACAAGATAACGGAAAAAAATAAATTATATTAATGCAACACATTTCTTAGAATCAAAATTGTTTTTGCATTGAATAATAATTATGACAAATATTTGTCTGAAAGAGTATGATTAGTCATGATGAAGCAGATTTCATTGATTTTATGTACCTTTTTCTAGAAGAAAGTTCACAAAAAGAGTTACTTATTGATAAACTCCTCTTATAACGAACTCAATCAAATGATTTCATTCAAACATAAGACGCACACAGAATTTGAAGAAATACTGTTCTTCAAATTATAATAATAATAATATGAAGGAAGAAATTGCAGATAATGTATTTCACGCAGATTTCATCAAACTTGAATAAGTTTACACATGATAAACTACATATAAATTTAATTCGATACTTAGTTTTTTTTAAAATATAAACATTAAGTATAAAAACCTTCAATTTTAAGGGCAGACATTTCGAGAATGAGCCATTAGATCCGCAATTTGTTTCACTTTTCGCTTTCATGTTTCTTCTATCATATTTTAAAATAATGCAATGTTTAATTAAATTTTATGGTGGACAGTTTTCATTCTGCCTATGTATTTCTACGAAACATGAGCGTACGCCTGAATAAGAAATATAACTAAATATGAATTTAATCAAAGAATATTTTAATTTTATTCAATTATTAAACGTTTCATATATTGAACTAACGCTAAAACAATTCAACATGACATTTCAATTCCGTAAAGAATTTCGTTTTGATGCTGTTATTCAATGTGTCAACCTAGTTGCGAGATACCAGTGTAGACAGGATAACCGTTCATTTGTCTCCATTCGTAGAATTCTCGCAATATTCGTAAACATTCATCTGTCACACATACGCCATGTAGTGATTCTAGCAGCTCTTTTGGAAAAGCGTCACTATCGTCTCTTCTTACACGTTCTTTACGTACAGTCTGCTTGTTCTTTAAGTCAGCAAGTCCTATACTTGAAATATCCGTATTTAAATCATTGTCCGTTTCCATTTCTACTTGCATCTCTTTAAAATTATCAACATCAAGTTCGTTATTTCCATTCAAATCACTGTCTTCACTGGTGATATACGTATCATCTTTGAGAGTGTTTGGCGGCATCGATTTAAAATTAGTTAAAGCATTAAGCCTTTTAAATAAATCACACATCATTGCAATGTCCTTGTACTCTTCGGGAAGTTTATATTCCTCGATTCCATCTATAAAGTTGTGAGGTTTCTCGCTTTCCTCAAGATGAATAGAAGCTCCAAAAACTGTTACTGACAATGTGTAAAGAACTATGGTGACTGAAATGGATATGTATAATGTATAAATTGATATATCCCTGATGCAAATAACAACTGCATAGTCTCTATTTATCACATACAATGTACTAGTACCGTGCCGGTAAAACGGAAAGGTGCGGCAGTGCATATAATTATTCGGCAATGAGCCTCTGTTTTATTTTCACCGATGTTTAATTTGATTCGACATTTTTACTCTTATCCATAGAGCGGTCAACCATTTTTTCAAGCATTTTCATATCAATATTAGGGTCACATCCAATATGGGACATACATATGGAATTTTGTTTTAATAGCTATGGCGTGGAAAGGACATATAGTAACATGTGTACATTTTTCATGCCGTTGAGTAAACAAAAATCAAAAATAAGCATGTGGCACGTTTGTTAAAGTAGAGAAGTCAAACTTATATGGGTTTTTTTTTACGAATTTTCAGGTTATGTCATTTTTTTATTTTAGTCGTTTTAAATCCGTATTGAATTTACTAAACTCACGTTATACTGTTGTATTCAAGTCGTTTAATATATTCAATACGAAATCCATAATTTAATATCCTCTATATTAAAGGAGTCACGTGAAAGCAACAAACCAATTTCGTAATAAAATTCATTTGTAAAAACTAATTATACGCCTTAGTCGAGTGGAAACTAAAAAATATATCACATAAAATACTCATGAGATATTGAAATATTTTCTAGTTTAGCAACTTTTTGTTCAGACATTAAGTAGCTGTTTTACAATAAATGGAATTTGTAAAAAGATAGCAAATTTAATAAACAGGAACGAACATATAAAAAAACAAGTACTTACCCTGCATTGTGTTCGTAAAGACTCTTAAAAAATAATAATCGAATGTAAGAGCAAATCCTTACACCATGAAATTACTCACTTTTCTAAATTTATTAATAATTATCTTCTCATTTATATAATATGCCGACCTCATATCCATAGCAACAATAAACAACTTTGCATCAATGGATTAATTCTACACTTAAAGGTATTTATAGATGTATACAGGCCATCCATTTTGGGCTTCTTAAAGTCTTGAAAAGATCTCTTATCATCAGTAATTCAATTTGCCATTTTCACATCAAAGATTGGAATTTCTATTGACAATTTATTTTAACTATGACGCACTTTACTAATCTGTAAATGGAATGTACATCGCGTCCGCCAATGATAACTTGAGAGGTTGTCCGACGGTAAAATTAAGTATAGTATAGTTTGGAAATAACAGAGATAAAGTGGTGACCTTAAACATTTACCATGTATCAAACGGATATTTGAAAGAATAAATAAAAGCGTAATTAAAGTAATAACAAAACAAGCATGTTGTTTATCAGTCATTAACATCCAAAAGTTAAAATTTATTTGCTGTAAATGTTAAAGAACGACATTACAGTAAAATATCATTGTGTTTAGAAAGTTAGAAATCACATGAACACGTGTGTATTATCTCTTCAATTATTTTCCCCATCTGCCTGAATAGACCGGATATCCATTTTTCTGGCGCCATTCCATATATTGTTGTAGTTGTTGAATGCATTCGGGAGTCTGACAAATTCCAGACAAAGGGTCCTCTTCAGCTATCTTTTCCTCGTTCTCTCCTAGACTCTCTGCAGTGTTGATGCCGGAATGATCATTTTCCATGTCAACAAAGTTTCCATTTTCATTTTCGTATTTTACTATTGGAAGGACAGAAACATCTTGAGTGATTCCAAATGAATCATGATTAGCAATCATCTGTTCATCTTCATTATTTGAACCCCATGCTTCTTTCTTCTGTATAAGTGGAAGTGCAATTATTAACTGGCTACATAGCCCAGCTATCACAAGTTGATGGTTCAATTGCATCTGTAAGAATATTTAATCTATGTTAATTATATTCAAACAAATTTACATCCAATTCACTTTTGACCTTATAATCGTCTACAATTAGGTAACTGTCAACACCAAAATTTAATATATGACTATATTTGAATATGTGAAGATTACATTAAACAGTTCCTTTACTTTAAAATAATTGTATATTTCAGACGACTTAAAGGAGAAATTATGATTGCACAAATACTTTATTTTAATCCACTGTCATAAGATAGATCTGAATTTCCGAAAAATATGCTGGACAGAGAAAGAGGGAATTTCGATTTGGGTTCATGAACGTTATAATTGTGTTATATACTGTCTTTTGCATGGAACTTAATTACATTATGTATACATGAATAGGGCTCCTCCGTCAATTACCTTAAAGTTGCTGTCATTTGTAGATTTATTATCACGAAAAAACTATTTAAATAGCAATTTGTGAAAGTGGAAGAAATGAATACAAAACAAATAGCTGAAAATTGCTTTTATTTATCACAGAGTACATAATCATTTTTTTCTACCCGATTTCCAAGAACTGTCCTTTAAACAAATACTGTAATTGATTATGATTTATGCGAGATGTTGAATATATTTTCAGAAATCCGCCAGGTGTTTAATATGAATACCTAGTTTGCTTTTGTTCATGCACACAACACCATTACCATTCCATTCAGATCAGTAGATAGGCAGGAAAATAAAACAAAAACATGCGAACGAATGCATTAATAAACAAACAAAGATAGAAGACATCGCAGATAGAATAAGCCATTCACGATTTCATATAAACAATACCAATTATGTTATTTCTAAAACTGATTTAATACATTATTTCCTGCAAGTAAATCGTGGAATGCCGTCAATCGTAATTCTTTAATCTTAAAACATTTTAGTATTTGGACAATGTTTCTACTTTATTTCCTTTTTGAATTTCCATTTTCTATTTGCAGATGTTTTAACTGACATCATTTAAACTAAATTTAAGTTACATTTTTTCCTCTTACGTATTTATTGATATGCATTTAGTTAACAAAATATCTTAACGTTTTTAAAAAAGGAAACATCCTTAAGAAGACAACCTTTCTTTAGTTTGGCATTTATAGATCGATCTTTCGACGTGCATAGAAATTTTATACAGCTGTAATTAAGAGAATAATGTTTACTTTAATAGATATTTATAGACATGACGACCTTTAACTTTTCATGATAAAATAAAATTCATACCTTTAATTATATATCCAATATAACTAGACCAAAGTAGATGGGTGTTAATGGAAGGTTTAGTGGGGACGTAAACGGCTGACTATCTGTATTTATATATCTCACAAGATAGGCCGGGTGCGTTTCATACGTTATCTAGCTGCGTAATGCAAGACAATCGAAGTCTCGTTTATCGTGTGACCTGCTGTTCTTCCAACCCTTTCATTAACTGTTAAAAGTCACAACACCTGAACACTACGAAATTTCAATAAGCTACGTAAGCATATCGTTTTACTGACTTCGTTGGATGGGCGACAAGGATGACAATTTGGAATTTTTGTTTAAATACGTTGGTTAAATATGTACACTCATGAAATAAACGATTAAAATGTCGATTGTGGATTAAAGCAATTAAGAAATTTCATGAATGACATTGATTTTTTTCTATCAACGCCTTAGCCATGACACATGAATTTATTAGTTACATTATTTTAATTTGAGAAAGTGTGCTTCAATAAAGAGAATATAACCATCATGTCGTTTCCGATAAAAAAAATGATGTCCTGAATTTGGGCCTGGAATAGTATCGTCACAAATATCTGTCACTTATACTAGAATGAATTCTACCTATGCTTGAAAGGCATTCTACCTTTTTATCTCTCCACCTATTTTATCATATATAACTTGATGTGTACATTTTTATGAAACAATATAGTGGTTTTAATATTTGAATAAATACTCTTTAATGTAAAGCAATATACGGTGGATCATTTTCTTTAAAAATTTCTCCAAAACTATTTTATGATGAAGATGGGCCGAATAATACATTTTATTAAAAAAAAGTCACTCTCTGTATATTACGGACAAACAGGGCACGCATTTCTTAGTGTTCTAAAACATTCTTCGCAATACACGACATCATACATAATACCACCCTCTTCTCTCCTTTGTATTTTATATGCGCCATGTTGTTGAACCTTATGTCTCATTGACTGCCACTTGAACGTACAAGTCGTCCCCTCTTAGGTAAGATTAAAGCTAAGAAAATTAAATGCATGTCATGTAGAGAAACGGAGTTGATTGTTTACTTCTTATTCATGTGCAGATTTGATTTGCTGTCTCAAGAATTTTAGAAATCCCACTCGTCTGTGGCGTATTTTCTTGTGAAGATAATCCAGTCTGGCCAGCACCTGTTCTGGGCAATAATATGCTGAGACTTTTCTACTCGAAACAAAACTATGGCGAATTATTAACTGGAATCATATGGAGGTTATGGCAAGCATGACTTGGTGATTATTTATTTTTCCGAAACGTTTTATAATACAAAATAAGACACAAAAGCAGGGGTTTCATGCTTTTTTCCTTTTTCATTTTCCTGCTTAAAATCACAAAAGTCCAATAGGTTGACAGCGAAAGCACGCGTCTATGATTAATCATGCAAATCTATATTATTAAGACAATAGAAAATATGTTTTAAGTAAGAAACACTTCAAATATTGTCATTATGGAAGAAAAAACAAGTCCTGGCCCACAGCGTCTCAGTTTGTCTCATCTAAAAACAATTTTCATTTTTTACGTAATTGTTACATAAAGATAAGATTTCAAAACTTTGTCGTTATTCATGTTTTCGCATTCTCGAGGGAAAATAAAATGCGAATGGACGACAAAATCAGGCCACAATATGACACAAAAGGAGTCGTGTTTTTCGTGTTTTTCAATTTCGCACTTGTATGAAACATTTGTTACATTTTCGCTTTTTCGTATTGTTACAATCTTTCTTTTTTGAATTGTCGAACTTTTACAGATTCTATTTGAAGTTATGTTATGATATGTTTGATAATTGAAACTATCGGTGCCAACATGGCTGTAAGTTATTTTACATGGCGCCCTTAGTCATGCATATTCAATAACGTTCAACAACGGCTCATGCATCTGTTATAAAAAAATGTTAATGCACGTTTTCTCATGCTCCTTAAATTAATGATGTCTCTGAGTTGTGAAATCATTGGTTTCGTCTTGTAATAATAATAAAAATGAGTTCGAAATAAATAATTGTCATGCCATATGTACAACGTACACTACAACAATCTTGTTAAATGCTTTCTTTTTATTTTTTTAAATATGTGTATATGCATTCGTTTTATTTTTTGTTTAAAACTCGAACTTTTAAACTCAACATGTAAAGCACAATATTATACATTTGCTAATTTATATTTGCATCCGTGCGAAGCATCCGTAATGCGTCTAATTGTTGGAAAGCTTCGCTATCTATGATTTCAGATACATGTGAATGTGTTTTTATTATTTGCAACACCGGCAGCAACAGACTATTTACACCAAGACACGCAAACTGCCATATATTTATCAATACAAGGTTAGCTTTTAAAAAAGCTAGTAGCGACTCGCTTCGTAATTTCTTTCCAGGGGTGCGTTTAAATGTAAAAATGACAGTTCTGTTAGCTGAAGAGACTTCAGCGAACATCAAAATAAAAGTGACATAAAGTTATGGAAGCCAGTTTCACTCAGTTTTACAAAGAGGATTATGAGTATATATGAAGATGCATGTAAACAGATAGAATGAAGTCCCTTTGTCTATGCACATTTACTATATGGCCTTTTGACCTTGACCAAATAAATGTTAGATAGGTAGAATTCATAAAGATGTCTCTTTATACGAAGTTAAGTTGTAATATGATATTTAGTATTGAAATGAGTGACAGAGACAAGTCCTAAAGTAAACACAAGTTGTCAATTAATTCAGCCAGAAAAGCCGGGATCCTATTAAAAATATAGGGATCCCGGGAATTAACCAGTCTTAGATGCTTTTCAGATAAGCCAGGATCCTATTAAAACATATAGGGATCCCGGGAATTGACCAGTTCAATTATATAGTTTTCAGAAAAGCCTGGATCGTATTAAAGTATAAAGAGATCCAAGGAATTGGCCAGTTCAAGAATATAGTTTTCAGAAAAGCTGGGATCGCATTAAAACATAAAGGGATCCCGGGATTTGACCAATTCAAGAATGTAGTCTTTGATTTTTCCAATTAATTAGGCATATAATTATAAGTTTTGTGATTTTTAAGTTGATAAATAGCTCTAAATATATTTATATCCAAAGTTTAATTAATTTAACGTTCATTACATACAATAAAAAAACTTAACGTTTAATGGCCTTTCATTACGACAATAATCAACACAAATATAGTTTATAAGTTTTTCCTCTATATCTTATACGATCCCGGATCCCGGCCAGTCCGGGCGTCCCGGATCCCGGCCAGTAAATATATACACTAAATACCGGAAAGGATAAAATGACCGGAAAAAAGGAAAAAGAAAAAATGCACAGAACCAGGTGTACACTTATGTTAATTAACCAAACGAAAACTTACTACAGAGGAACAGGTGAAATACCTAAATCAAAAGTCATTGTTAATATGCTTTATTGAAAAGAATTCATGAAAACAAACATTTTTAATCATCATAATATCTTTGCGCTCAAAACAATACTTGCTGCTTTTTAAATATGGCGTGAAAATTGAAGGTTTTTTGACGCTATGTAAGATTAAATTTGATTGGCTAAATAAGTTTGGATCCTAGCCCTGATAAATAAATTTTTATAGAAAGCTGGAAGCCAAGCTTCGATTAAATTTTTGGATGTATTCAGAGTTTTAGGTTGTTTCTCAGTAAAATCCTAACGTAATACCGGCTCGCCGTGGCGAGCCGGCATAAAATTGAAATACACAAAGGATCACACGCAAAAAGTCTTCAAAAAAGGTTTTAGCTTATGTATAAAGTGTCAATAATTAAGACTTATTCCATTTAGTGACCCATATAAGTTGTAATTCCTTGAAATATAGTGTCATGTAATATTTCGTTATTCACGAAGCACCACGTTTTCGTTCATTGAACAAAGGGGACAGGTTTTCTGGAGGGCAGTAAAACATTCTTCGCAATAAACGGCATCACATGTCATACCGCCCTTCTCCCCTGTACATTTTGTCAACTGCACCTTGTTGAAGCTTGTGTCTCGTTGCCCACAACTTGTACATTCAAGTTTCTCTTTCTTTGGTAAAATTTGCGCTAAGATTGGAAAATTGAATGCAAGCCACGTAGAGAAACGCAGTTGATTTTTTACTTGATCTTCTTTATGTGCAGATTTGATTTGCTGTCTCAAAAATTTTAGAAATCCCACCCGTCTGTGGCGTATTTTCTTGTGAAGATAATCTAGTCTGGCCAGCTCCTGTTCTGGGCAATAATATGCTGAGACTTTTCTTCTTAGGCGCATACCATATGCTCGAAGTAAAACTACTGCGAGTGCTATGATGTAAAGAACTATAAAGACTGGAATCATGGAGCCTGATGGCCTTCGAGGTTCTGGCAAACACGGCTCGATGTCGAGGGTTCTGTTGAAACTTCGATCGAGGTTATAAGGATTGACCAAAAGCTTATAGAACTCAGCCACAGGTCCATCGCCATTAACATCTATTTTGACTCGCCCGGATGATTTAATTTCTATTTCAAGATTACCATATTCCTTGACCATGTTTAACATGTAGTACAAAGCATAGTCAAACGAAACTATGAGAACGCAAAGAAGAAAATGTAACAACACTTGAATCAGTCCAAGTTTTGAGTAAGATAACTCTGTTGAGTTAAGTTTAAATGATACAGTATCTACATACTCCTCTCTCTCCCGTGGTTTTAATGGCAATACGGTTTCTCTACCATTTTCCCCTGCTTCTTTATCCATTTGTTTAAATTGTTTAGTGATATAAATATTGTCATATCCGTCCTTGGCTAGATAATTTCTAAGATACCAAAAGGTTTTTAAAAATATTAGAAACAAAGATAAGGACACACAAAATCGAGTTGTTGATATTATGCTATCAAATATATTTAGTTTTCCTCCGATGTCTTTTTCCACCTCATGTTGTATTGCTGTTGCCGGTTTAGAAACGTTTGCATTACCGCTAAATTCGCCCGAGATGACCATATCAACTTTAAAAAAGTTTATAGCATCATCTAGTGTTGCTCTGAAAAAAGAAGAACATGATAAATTGTAAATTTTGCACCTTAAATTAATCGTACTCAGAATATTATGCATGTATTTCTTTACGGTCAGATCAACGATATTGCAACCCGTGAGTAAAATTACACGAATAATACAAAAACAATTTATCGGAAAGAACTATATTACATACGGGTCGGGCAACAAGTTGCAGAACATGAAGTTGTTGCACACTTGGCTCAAGCGAGTGAATGGTTGCAAACTTGACGTATATATTCATGACTCGGTAGCCATTACGTTATGTATAAAGTCTGCTTGTGTTTTCTATGTTACGTTTGCATGTTATTTTGATTCATTAAGGTAATGTTTATGGCACACTCGGTTATATGTTTCAGCTTCATAGCTTCTGATTTGACGAAGTTATTGAAGATATAAACTGTTCCATGTACATATTTTCAGATTTGACAAGTGACTACTGGTTTTTCTACCCTTTTATCCACACCTATAAGTTTTGAAGTTAATCAAACAGGACAAAATAGGTTTCTTTCAATACTTTATAATGTTTTAATTTGCATGCCCCAATTAAAGTTTCAACACACGAAACGATCTTGTTCAAGCGCATTTTGATTTAAAACTTGTACTTCAAGCATTTCTGGTTGCAAATTAAGGCTTAGCATCTATACAGAAAGATTTGTCTTGTTTAATAAACTTCGTATCTTACAGATTTGAATAAATTGGTAGATAAATCTACATCAATTTTCAAAATATGTTTATGGCCATGTTATATCTTCAGTAAATTTTGTGACTTACAGTGCATAAAAATAATATAACATAAAGAATTTTTCGGCAAACTGGGTACTATGTTTTTGTTTGGATGTGTAGAAGCGCTTCTTTTAAACTCATATAGGTTTCTTTTGTTCTATTTTTTCCTTTGTTTACTATACTGTTCGAACTTCTGTTTAAAGCACGATAATTTTACAACATTGATTCAAATTTACAATGGCATATCTTATTACATACCTGATTTTATTTGAGATAAGGTGACAGTCAGCATCGAAGTAACAACTTTTAGAGAAATTGAAGCCCTTGCATAATGATTCTCCTTTGAATATGCTAAAAAAAGGAGGTTTAGATCAGTCTATAATGCATTTGTAAACTTATTCATTGTAAGTAACTGAAATATTATTTAATTATTTTTTTTGAGACATATTTGTTTCTCGACAACAAATTCTAATTAAAGTTTTGCTCAATATTTGTTTAAAAACACAACAGACAAGCCATATTTTTTCAACTTTTTGTAGATAATACGTTTCATTATAATGACACATCAATGTACATGTATTTAATACTTGTATGATAAATATACAAAAGCTTAACAAAGTGTTATTATAACACACATGTGTAACTTGATTTGTGATCGGATATAATAAAGTAAATAAAAATAGGTGATAAAACATCAACTACTGATAGTTCCAAATTTCATCAACTTTCAACTCACCTGTTTTTTCTTGTTTTTTTGTTTTGTTTTGTTTTTAAGTGTGTGCGTGTGTGTGCGTGTGTGTGTGCGTGTGTGTGTGTGTGTGTGAGTTTTTTTTTCGTTTTTTCTTTGTTTTTTATTATGGAGAAATAATTACAGATTTAATACGATATTGTCTATATATACATACTTCCTTAAATGGTCGTATATTTTATAGCACTCTTTGTACAGGAACTTGGAGGCTGCATCGCATTTTTCATCACAAATTCTTTGCATAGATTGTTCAACTGCTCGAATTTTTATGTTACATGTTTTCTGCAACAAAATTACTATTTTCCCACAGCTCTGAAAAAAAAATTGAAAATTAATTATAAGGACCAATAGATATCTTGAATAAAGCAACTGAATCACTTTAAAAGTATCTGTTAAAAGTATCTGTATACCTAAAGATATCTATATATGTACAATTTACTTATTTATTTGAAATTACCTTAATTAATTACGTAATTACCTTTTGTAAACTACATTTAACTGATTCGGTAGTCGCTGATCCGTCGTCCAACAAATCCAATGTTTGCGTTAAAATGCCAAATGCTGATTCCAACTTATCAACTAGGGCCTTACGTTCTTCATTTTGTTTCCTGACATAGTTTCTCAGATCATCTGACGGTATAGACATCTCTAGTTGCAGTGCCTTTGTTTGATTTATTGCTATTCCAAGAACACAAGCCATACTGCCTCCGGCCGCTTTTGCATTATGGGATATATTAGAAATAGGAAATTCTAGAATAAGAGCAAATATGGCCGATAATAAAACAGTTCTACCTATTCCAGTGAAGAGGTTAGGGACAACTAGTGCAGTGATACATCTGATAAAGGATGAAAGTGCCAATCCTGTGCATATCAAAGCAGTTAGAATACCCGTTAAGATTACTGCTTCTGTAAAAGTGTATCCAAAACTGTATCGATACACCAGAAATATTAGAATCCCAATAATTATTCCCGATATTATCCCAAATATTGCCTTCAGGAATCGTTCATCCTCTTTTGAACTGTTTATCAAACTGTCTACTCGGCATTTAAATGCATTTAGTTTACCAAACCGATGGTAACTTCTAAACGATTCCGTTCTTTTAATTGCCATATCTTGTGCACCGTATTTATCCCAAAATAGTCTTTAAATGGGTGAATCCTCCAACAAGGTACTGATGCGCAGATTGAGCTTCTAATGTAACGTCACTTCCTGTAAAACATCATACATTTAAGAATATAAATTCCTCGATGATAATAAAGTTATGTAAATACCACGAATATAACTGCACAACAATTCTCTGTAGATTACGACCTCTTAACAACAACATAATCATAATTATCATCATCATCTATTTTACTCAAAGTAAGTGTGAAATTCAACATCTCAAGAAAAACGCCTCTCAGAATCTTCGCCCTAAAATGAAGTTGTATATCCATATGCTACTACAAGAAAAAGTGCCAAATGAAGATATACGTTTGAAAATCGTTATGTCTTTTCGACACAGGGTGTGAGGCGGTGTTTTAGACCCGGTGAAATCAGTCAATAAATATCTGTCTGATATATCTGAGTATAAGAATCTTGTAGCGTCAGCTGCCGGGACAGACCGGAAGATAAAGCTAAAGGGTAACTGTTAACGGCGGTATCGATGCTCTGCCTACGGAATCGTAATTCGAAAAGAAATAACAAAAACTAATACTTTTGAGCTGATTACTCTATCTCCGGGTATTTAAAATATTAACATAAAAAAAGAATTTTCCTCAATCTGCCTATTTATTAGTGACAATTATTCTATAAATGATTGGTGATCATTAATTATCTTAAAAACACCAATATTTATATCGAATATAACTAAATCTCCCAATCTATCAAATCAAGCAAACTATATGGAACTGTGTCTCCGTCTCCCGATCACCTCTAAGTGTGCCTCCGTCTTACTTACAGTCCAGCTCACCTTCCTTGATAATTAAAGGTGTACCACTGCTATCTTATGCCACTTTTCACCGGATAATGAGCATCCGCGAGAAAATATGGCTTCGGTAGTAGTATTGTCCATCCATTATCTTAATGTAATCTCATTGAAATAAATATCTGGAAAAAAGTGATCCCTCGGAAGCAAATTACATGAAAATTGCAGACTCGGTTTGATTGAGTCTGTACATGAGGGATAATGAAAATGTGCAACATCTCTCACACACCCTAGCACTGGCTTGAGCGGTACTCAATTCTCAACACTTAATAGTGCTGGACTCAATGATCCCGACCAGCAAAATATAACAACACTGAAGTGAAAGACGGCGAATTTCATTTTTTTTACAGCTGCCACACAGCACTTGACACCTGCTGTTGTGATGTATAAATAACTGGAAAAAAGTGATCCCTCGAAAGCCAAGTTGGAGTTGTATCTGTGTCTCCAGACAACCAGCCAGTTCTGATAAAAAAACTTCTACGATTCAGGCTGTTAACTAGCACTACTTACTTCCTTCTTTTCCTCGAGGCTGTACATCAGCGAGAAAGTATGTTGTCGATAGTGAAATTGTCCTAAAGTCTTAGTCATATTACCTTTCGATGTTGTATTTTCAACAGTCAAGACAGATATCATAAAACAGATCTGATATTCCGGCGGGTCGGTCGGTATTCTATGCTTAATGAGGGCCCATCCCCAAACGCAAATAGCAGATTTCGCAGTCGAGAACGGACTCCGGTCATGTCACCAGTCATGCCCTTAAAGGGTAAATTTTGAAGCACAGTGGTGATAATTTATCTTCATGCAGTTTCCACGGAGTATTAGCCAAAGATACGAATTCAAAGCCGAAAATATGTCACTTTCCGGCGGCCAATGAGAATTTAAATGTACAGTAACCCGAGCCAATATGAAAAGGAGGAAGCCCTAGAAAGGGCTGTTATGCCAGCAAATAGCTTGTCTTTGAAGCCGTCACTTTCTGTTCTAGAGACTCACACACCCTAGCACACTTTCCTTGACGTCTCTGCCTGCGTTACTTTCGATATTTTGGAAACTGTTTTCATTATGCGAATATTTCTTTTCTGCTTTATCAATCAAAATATTGTTGGTGTCTAACTTCTAACTGACAGAAATAAATATGTTATAGTCGATTGGTCTACAATGGACATATTTTCCATATGTATTTCAAATATTGATAAAAAAGAGACATGTATCGTTCGGACATTGTAATTAAATATTGATGGACAAAATAAATGTTTATAAAGTTTTAAGCGATTTAGTATGAACATTTATATGATAAATAGTAATATTTTATTCTACAACATTTTATTATCTCACACCCATTTTCAATTATTTCGTAATTTGTTGTTATGTTGATACTAAATACTACAGTAAAACCCTACAAGATTTGTAATGAAAACAAAATGTAAAAGGTGACAATAAGAGATATTTGAAATGGCAAGCAGTATTCAATCAAATATTGGAATCATCAACAAAAATACATTTTGTCATTTTGATCATTTTTCAGGCGCCCAATACGGTGCCAGGACGCCATTTCCGCGTGCAAGGGCTTGAGATAAGGAACTGACGCTTATGGAAAAACCCTACTCACCGTGGGTTATTGTAAAATATGAACATAACATATGACATATCTAAAAAGGAAAAGATTACAATTCAAAATCATTTGAGCTCTGCACAAGTGGCTTATTTGTGTATGTTTGTTTGTTTGTTTCTGTAAGAAACATTTCTTGCAAGTAACAGTTCTATATGGTTACACTTGGGTTTCAACCACGGCGTGGAAGTTGTAACTGTTTCAAGGTCCAGTTAAAAATGTTAACATTTTAGTTAGATGTATCTACCAACGAAATCATTAAACAAAATCATAATACACACTGTCATGTTTGTGACGTCATGTTTTGTTGTATTTGTACAATAATTTCATTACCTATTTGTCTATTGTACAGTCATGTGAAGGAAAAACTAGATTTTATACATCATAAGAATAGACAATTATATTCTTAACTTTCAAACTTTTGCAGCTAAAGTGTGCATATAATGTCTCAGTGGTTGACATAATTATAAGATTCATAATTATAAGATTAATAAATAAATAAAAATCATGTTAAATGATTTGACTCTTTTGTAATAAATAGCATTGGTAACATTTGCTTTACTGTACAGATATATGTTTCTGAATAATATTATACACAACATGATGTTAAAGTTTTCTTATTTCCAAACTAATGATAAAAGCACATCTTTCCAGCGGACAAATTAAACATAAATAATTAGTTTACCATCTATTATAACTGAAATCTTTTAAAAAAACCAAGTATTAAGAACATATGTTGCAGATCAAATAATTAAATATCTTCAAAACTCTGTCATTATGTCATTATGTTATAATACTTATATCCATGCATATTTTTTTTAAATATTTGCAAATGAAAATTGTATAAATGATATTTGATATGTAAAAGGAGTGTTTGTCAAAAAAAAAATCAAGATAAAATCTTAATGAAATACTAAGTGGTGGTTATTGTTTTGTGATGTTTTTGTGTTGTATTGTTTAGAAGGCACACTTAAAATTAAGATATGTTATTTGTTTTCTACGATGGTTTATCTTCATGTATTACCTTCTTTAGATAAAGATATTATTATTACTTTGAATAAAGGATACAAAAGTCCCCTAATTATTTCAACAATTGACGTTGTTTTCCGCATTCTGTTGGTATTCGTATTGATGCATTTGGGGCGATTTTCATTCTTTGTATTTTTTTTGTTCTCCGGAAATTTTTTGAACATGTTGAAATAATGTAGCGAATTCATGTTTCGTCTGCCCATTGTTAATGTCCGTTTCAATACGGATACAAGATTTGTAAGCTGTCGGCTCATGGTAAGATTATTTATATCAAAGCACAGAAGGCGCTGAATTTGTTTGGGTCTCAGAATGTCAGAAAGGTGAAGGTTGTGAGATTATAAACCAATTTGTTTTTGTATAGTGCCACCAATGCTTTCCAGTGTTTTAACTGTAGTAAATTGGTTATAAGACTAATTGCAACACTGATAGTCAATTCAATGTTTATTTGACTTAAAAAAATGAGTTGCCTCAACTGGGATTTGAACTCCAGACCTCTCGATTCATAAGCGAGCGTGCAAACCCCTCGGCCACGGTGAAGTTTAGGATCACGGCCTGAAGAAAACCATATCGTTCTAAATTAGGGTTTGTAACTCTTATTATTTCGACGCTAAACCTGTTGTTAAACTCAGATGTAAATAATCATGGATCTTAATGTAAGCATGAATATCTATAAAGAATGAAACAGTATTAGAAATCTTCGACCATTCGGGAACTACTTTGCTTGAAAATTAATGCGCCTGTCATTTGACAATCTTTACGCATTGATCTCCCCCAAATTTTTCGGCGTTAGTGTACATATAAAGGGAAGTAACCGCTTCAAAAAAGTGGACTACTTTAGGCATTTGCAATTAACAGCGTTAGGCTCTGAAATTTCGTAACCATTATTTGTTTGGTCTGACGACCCAAACAAATAATAACCAATAAATCTTCGCGATAGCCTGCGAACGTGTGCGAATCATAACGAATAGTATGCTGTTGGGGTTCTTGTGGTCCTGGGTACTACTTGCAGACGCCTGTGTACCTTGAAGTGTATTTGACACTATACCCCGACACTCTCGAAAACTTCTTTTCAGCACGTATAAACAATTTCTTCAGTTATTCTAGTTATTATTCAATGAACTTTTTTGATAATTTGTACATGTATTTTTTTATTTCGTAAAACTACAATAAACCAAGCGTTGAATCCGAACAAAAACAAAATTATGTCTGAAGTCAAGCAGACTGAGTTGTATTTTTTTTGTCCAAGCAGCAATGGTAAGAAGGGAGACGGAGGTGATAAGGAGTACAGTCTGATAGAGAACACCGTTTTTCTATTGTTATCATTAATATTTACGGAAATTATTTAACGACATCAATTTATATGCGTTAAATTCGTCTAGTATCTTAAAGATACCCGCTGAGACCTACAAGTAGTACCCGGGACGACATTGTCTGTCGTAGAATGTTTTGTAATATAATTACCAATTTATTAAACAAACCAATAAATTGGTGAATAGATGTTTAGATGATAGCTTAAGTAATGTTGTTGTTGCTTTTATTATTATTATTATTATTATTATTATTATTATTATTATTATTATTATTATTATTATTATTATAACGACCCATAACCCATCACGTATTGTAGCTATTCTGATACATGATGGTTGAAAGCAAATAATAATGGTTAACGTATAGAAAACGAAAGGCATACACTTGCAAACGAATAATAGGTAGCTATGACATGCCAATACTTGCGAGTCATAACAGATCTATCTAGTAAACTAACAGGTACCTGACGCGAGGGTCTACAATAATAAACAAATAATAACGAATGATTAACGTTTATAAAGCGAACGGCAAACGCTTGCAAACGAATTACTAAGAAAGGTAACTATGACAAACCAAAAAACAAACAACAACAACAACGAGAAACAAGAGACAATGATTACTGATAATGAAAACATACAAAATGCTTCTGTATTTTCACGGTATGTTTTGCAACACAAAACAAAAGCAGGGAAATCAGACTTTTTCACCTATTTTTTTTTATTTATCTATTTCTTTTTTGCACCTCAAAGCATAGAAGTCCAATAGATTGACAATGAAAGCATGCGTTTTTCAATTTTTGCATGGCATATACGATTAATAATATGACTGTTAATAACTATTAAGGCAATATAAAACATATTTAAAGTAAGAGATACTCCTCATTCTGTCCATATAAATGTGGGAGCGAATAAACAAATCCTGGTTTACAGCGCCTCAATATCTCATTTTTTTCAATTAATTGACATTTGAAGAGTTTCTACTTAACGTTAAAATAAGTTGAAGATTCTAATTGAAATTTAAAAATTCTTGCGGCTTAAAATATGTTTATATTTTGCAAAAGGAAAGTAAATAAATAAAAAACAAAATAAATACACCTGATAAGTGAATATGTCTGTAACATGTGTCCCTCTGTTTTCATGAAACACTTCTTGTAAGCCAATTATTTCCCCGTCGAAATCAAACACAATAATGACTACCAGCGAAGAAAAGAGTATTAACATGTTAACTTTAACATGTTCGGAAATGATAACAAATATCTTTTTTGAAATTAATTAAGTTTCCGGAACATACACTTACAATGGCTACTTTAAAATGGGCGATTTTATTATTATGAAACAATCGTAACGTAATATGGGATGAAACCATCTTAATTGATCAATAAAGATAATTTGCTATTCTTAATTGTGTGTGAAGAATAAACACCATTTGTGAGATTTGAGTTATATGTGCGCCTTATCATATTAAACAATAGACAGTCTTATAGAAAGATGTAATATTTTACACAAGCTCACCGTTTTGATAACATGTTGAGCTTGTGTTGAAAATGTATTCTCTTTTGAATACAATTTTGCTCTCATATTATTGCAGTGATGCCCTATACAGTATGATCAAAATGAACCAATAAAGTTTTGAATTGACAGGATCATCTCAGTCCATCATCAAACACAAGGTGATCCCATATCAGCTAACGTGCATAGCATTGCCAAAATGTTGTTTGGCCATATCTGTAACATGTTCAGTAGACGCGTACGTTGTTTCTCGAGTTTCTCTTCAAGTCTTACTACCGACACTCTTACGTAAACTTTTGTTGAAGCTAATAAAGTACTTAAAATGTAATTTTTAGAAAAGAAAATGATCTAAGTCAAGCCATATAGTAATCAATATCAATTTGATACACATATAAAACGAGTAAAAAGTACAAAGGCAAAGACAATATTCCACATGATCATACACAAAAAGGAAGCTTCTAAGAAGGTACAAGCTTTATATAGTGTCAAGATAATTGTTTTCAAGTTCATTCTATTAAGTCAATCCTGTTATAAATGTTATGGGAAGTAAATACATCTACCATTCAAATTCCTGCAAATAATATTTTCAGTTATATTTCGTTATTCGCGGAGCACCACATTTTCGTTCATTGAACAAAGGGGGCAGGTTTTCTGGAGAACAGTAAAACATTCTTCGCAATAAACGGCATCACATGTCATACCGCCCTTCTCCCCAGTACATTTTGTCAACTGCACCTTGTTGAAGCTTGTGTCTCGTTGCCCACAACTTGTACATTCAAGTTTCTCTTTCTTTGGTAAAATTTGCGCTAAGATTGGAAAATTGAATGCAAGCCACGTAGAGAAACGCAGTTGATTTTTTACTTGTTCTTCTTTATGTGCAGATTTGATTTGCTGTCTCAAGAATTTTAGAAATCCCACCCGTCTGTGGCGTATTTTCTTGTGAAGATAATCTAGTCTGGCCAGCTCCTGTTCTGGGCAATAATATGCTGAGACTTTTCTTCTTAGGCGCATACCATATGCTCGAAGTAAAACTACTGCGAGTGCTATGATGTAAAGAACTATAAAGACTGGAATCATGGAGCCTGATGGCCCTCGAGGTTCTGGCAAACACGGCTCGATGTCGAGGGTTCTGTTGAAACTTCGATCGAGGTTATAAGGATTGACCAAAAGCTTATAAAACTCAGCCACAGGTCCATCGCCATTAACATATATTTTAACTCGCCCGGATGATTTAATTTCTATTTCAAGATTGCCATATTCCTTGACCATGTTTAACATGTAGTACAAAGCATAGTCAAACGAAACTATGAGCACGCAAAGAAGAAAATGTAATAACACTTGGATCAGTCCAAGTTTTGAGTAAGATAACTCTGTTGAGTTAAGTTTAAATGATACAGTATCTACATACTCCTCTCTCTCCCGTGGTTTTAATGGCAATACGGTTTCTCTACCATTTTTCCCTGCTTCTTTATCCATTTGTTTAAATTGTTTAGTGATATAAATATTGTCATATCCGTCCTTGGCTAGATAATTTCTAAGATACCAAAAGGATTGAAGAAATATTAGAAACAAAGATAGAGAGATACACAGCCGAGTTGCTGACATTACGCTATCAAATATATCTAGTTTTCCTCCAATGTCTTTTTCCACCTCATGTTGTATTGCTGTTGCCGGTTTAGAAACGTTTGTATTACCGCTAAATTCGCCCGAGATGACCATATCAACTTTAAAATAGTTTATTGCATCATCTAGTGTTGTTCTGAAAAAAAGAAGAATATGAGAAATTGAAAACTTAAATCAATCGTACTCAGAAGTGAAACATATATATTTCTTTGTTAAGGTCATTAACAATAATTTGTTGTTATCAATTTGAAAACGGCGTTCCTTAAATGCATCAGTTTTATTCATTTACCTTTAGCCAAAAGTAATAATATGATAATGGCATGCTCTGATTAAATTAACTGAATGACTAGGCAAAACTCGTGTGTTTTTTTTTAAATCTGAATCGTATAAAATAGAGAGAAATAAAGAATCACTAAAAACGCATAAAACGACAAAATTGAAAATGTTGCAGATCTGATTGAGTCTGTTCATGGTCGGTGGAATCAAGTAGAAGTCACAAGTATTACCGTCCACATTCCCCTAGCACACATCTCAACATTTTTTAATCATTGGTATATATTTAAGGAAATATCATTCCGCAAGAGTGGTACGGTACCCCGGCAGGTTATTTCACTTTCGGACATCTTTCTAGCCTTAGGGAAGTAGGTTAACAGTTCTTAAACAGAATAATGAAGCTCAAAACTATAATTTGCTTGTTCCTAAGTTCAAGATGTTGTAAGTTCTGTATGATTTCCTATTTTTTCTATGATGAATTGTTTAGGTTTTTCACATACATTTTTTTCGTATATATTCTTTTTATCTTTCCGCACTCATTAATAAAACTAGATGAATATCAAAAATACAGTTTAAACATAGATCGTACATTACCTTGTTTTCTTTGTGATGTCATTGAGATCTACACCAAAAGCCAATTCATTACAACTTTTAGAGAAATCTAAGTCTTCACAAAATGACCGTCCGCAAAACCTAAAGTATAGTCACTAAACGTAAATACATACGTGTAATTATTTAACTGGAGGATGATTCGAGTTGGAAGCTTTAATGAAGTTGTCTCAGATAAAATATCAATTAAAAATTGTAGGATAGTTAGCTTATATCAAGCAGCATGTGATTTATTTTTTCTAACGGTTTTGTTTGTACAGCTCGATAAACATAAATCTTTAAGATTTTATTAAAAATACCAAAAGAGCATTTTTGCAGGAAAATAAGGAAACTCAATACCTACAGGTAGATGCCATATAAAGATTATCATATAAATAAAACAGCTGGTAATTTAGAAATAAAATATTGAAATTGCCTTCCCAAGAGAAAAGTCAAACAAATTAAAACGTATAAATAAGCAGAATAATACAATATAATTTAACGACCACCTTGAGTAAATATTTACGATGTGTCTGAGTTAGAAGAATGAAAATTAGACATACTCTTTAATAGGATAAGACAGTTCGTCACATTTTCTTCTACATTCTCCTTGTATAGAATTGACAGCCTCTCGACATTTCTACAATAAATGAAAATAATGATGATATGATAATGAAAGAATCTTGTCAATTATTATATAAAGCGTCAGTTGGATACTACAGATATATATATGAATAGATACATGTGTAAATGCATCCTGCAAATATACAGGTAGCTAGATATCTTTGTTCCACAACTATGTCACTGCTTTAACAAATCATTATATAAAGCTTTAGCTAATGTCATAGGTCTTAAGGTAAACACTTTTTTTTAATTAAACAGTAGTTATTTAAGTTATAGAAAATCGAACATTTAGCCATTTATTGATACTATGACCCCGTAAATTACTATTGAGAAAATAAGATAAAGCACAAACACGAGCTGTCTGGAAACATGCTGACGAAACCACCTCCATTTAGAAGACACGAAGGAAGTAACACTCACATATAAATATAAAAAACTTGTCTTTAACTGTTGTAACATAATATATAGGGGTCTCGTTTCAAGTGTATACATTTTAAGGGGAGTTACGTTAGTTTACATTTATTGTCAATTTTACAAGGAATAATTCATATAAGCGGTTAAAGCCATTCTTCCACGACATATTTCGATTAATTAAAAGTTATAGCAATCTACTAGTAAATACCTTTATGACAACTTCTAATGCTTCATCAGCACTGGCAGCTCCGTCTCCAAGTTGAGCCAAAATGCTTTTAACAATGTCAAACTTTGAATCAAGTTGGTTTGATACTGATTGTAGCTCCTCATTCCGTTTTCTCACGTAGTTTGTCAGATTTTCTAATGGTATAGCCATTTCACCTTGCAGCTCCCGTGTTTGATTTACGGCCAATTCAACTATACATGACATACTGCTACCGGTCTCTCTTGCATTGTGTGATATATTAGAAATAGGCTGGTTCAGAATAAGAGCAAATATGGCCGACAACAAAACTGCTCTGCCAATGCCAGAGAAGAAATTAGGAACAACTAGTGCAATAATACATCTGACGAAGGATGAAAAAGCCAAACCAGTGCAAATCAATACAGTAAGTACGGTCGTTAAGATCCCTGCATCTTTAAAGGTATATCCAAAACTATACCGGTACACTAGGAATAAGAAAATTCCCAATATTATTCCGGATATAATGCCAATCAGTGCCTTTATACCTCTTTTCTCCTCTTTTGGGCTGTTGATAAGATTTTCTGTACTTGATTTGAATGAGCTAAGTTTGCCAAAACGGTGGAAGCTATCGTCAGAATTCTCCTCATTTTTCCTTGGTTTTTGGCCTGTATCATCTTTGACATAATCATCGTAGTTTGAAAGTTTATCCCGAAATGAGTCTTCAAATGAAGAATCCTGCCACGATGAAATAGACTCTGGGATACTAATCGAGTGTTCTAGTGTGACAGCATCAAATCTTACGGTCCTCAATGTGTTAGACTTAGAAAATATTTCTTCTGCTTTGCTGTTTGTTTCTTTTTCAACTATAATATATTCAAAATGCATTTGGATAGATTTGTTATAGAATACATTAATCAAATACATTTTTTTGTTTTGTTATTCCATTTCCAATGAAAATTCATTTATCAAATATGAACATCACCTGAATTATATAACATTTAACGAGAATTTAAGACGAATTTCACACATTAGATCAAGTTAAGTTAATTTCTTTATTTTCACACCTTATAAAATATAACCAATGAATTTTCAGCGTTTTTCATAATCAGATTCAATCTTATATGTTTAGCCCCGTTTCCATTTCCAGAGTCAAAAAATCTACATCAAATACATATCGTACCCAATGTAGCCTCGTTTTCATATTCGGGGTTCAGAATATCTATATCGTACTCCATCTAGCTTCCTTTTTATTTTCAGGATAAAAACATTCATATCAATTCCTTAAAATTAATGTTCAAGGTTCTATCGAAATGTCAAAAAATGGTGGTGTGAAATAGAGAGGTTAATATACATTGCTGAGAACAATACTGATTCTATTGGACTCGTGCACAGCTAGCACCTTGTCCGATGCTGCTTTAACAGCTGAATAGTCGTCTAAAATAATTCAGGTATTGTACTCAAAAATGTTTAATAATCTCATAATATTATTACATGTTTGTTTGAAATAATATGATATGCATATTGAGTTAGACTGCAATCTTACCTTCATTGGGATTCTTAACAATTTTCAATTTGAAAGTTTTTTCCGGTTTGGTTTTGCGTAATTTATGTACATCAAATTCCATGGGCCTGCTTGAGTTAGTTCTTTGACTGTTTTCTTCATCAAGAAGAGCTGCTTTCTTGGCTTGAATTTGTTTTGCAATGTTTGCATAAACGGGTTTCTCTGGTAATCCTTCTGTGTTAACATTTTTTGCTACAATTTTTGGAAACAATATTTTGTAAAACATGTAATATACATACACAGTTCTCATCTTCATTGTTCACATAGGTTGGGTTACCTATCAAATTACAAATACTGGATTTACAGTATATGCATTGCGTATGAATGACTCACTGTCTTTAATCGGTTGTAAAAAAAGTGATGCAAAGTAAAACTAGCTATACTCATTTTAATGAAACCCATCGGGGAGAAGAATTCTTGTCAGCTTAAATAGAAACAAAGAAATTTCCAGGTATATATTCATTCTGGTATGCAAACAGAAAGACGTACATGATAAAATGAAGTGCTGTCTTACAGATGAGTAATCGTATTGTCAGTCCACTGGCATATTCACGGGTTCAATCCTCGCCCGGGTAATGCATTTGTGAAATCGTACAATAGTGTTGTAAACTTGTTCGGTGATAAGCATAAAGGGTATTGTTTTAGGTCATGCCAGTCCGATATGAGCATAATCTATTGCGTGATATAATTATTAAAGTGAAGCAGAACTATAAAATTGTGAACTAATCAGCCCATCGCCACCAGTAGAAGTTGTCGCCTATAATTCTGATGGATTGTTTTGCAAATGCAAAATCAAACACTTAATTACCTCTACATGCTCTTGTATAGCTTCAAAATATCATTATATAATATAAACAAACCTGGCAATGGTGTATAGTCCTTGCCCTCTTCGTGAACTACACACGCTGAAGGGAAAGCCCCAGTTTCCTTCGTTCTCTCATTAAAACCAATATACCACGTTTCGTCAACAACATGGACAGCCGTGAGGTGGTCCCCAATTCTTAAAGAAATGCATTTTAAAGAATCAGATCCGTCAAAGTCGCACACTGCATTAAACATTTTAGCGCAAGGAACCTCTAACAATCAGCTAGGATTATTATATCACAGTCATGGATCGGTAAAAAAAAACAGTAGAAGATGATGAGAAGTTCACCTTTCCAGATTTCAAAATTCACTATGATTTCATTAATTTGTTGGTTCGAAATAAATGATTAGTGTCCATATCTTCAAACAAATCTATAGATAAATATTTGAAACTTAATTATATGCGGATATGGTATATTTATATATAGTATGGGATGACTTCTCCGGAAACATGCACTTAAAAGTTGGCTTTGTTAACTAAACGTTTATGTGTTATTATTTGCGATTATTACAAACAAGGTCAGAAAAAGAAAAAGAAAGCACGGTCACAATAATAATTACATGACTGGTGATGATGTACGTATTACTAACTGTTAGTAGTCAGTCATCCTTTGTTATGATAAAACAGTAGTCACACAAAAATGTTCTTTGTGGTTTGTTCTTTCTTTTTCCTAAAATGGTTATTCATAATCGTTTAACCTGTGATACCTTTTAGTTATGCGACGTATATATTTGTTGATGATAATACTGACTCAACTGCCTAAGTCCTCAATGCATCATTATCATTAACAAAAGTATGTATGATGCACCAATAACATTCCAAACTTGTTACATAACAATTCGCATATATTAATTTTAAAACACACTAGTGCAACCTCTGCAATGGGAAACCCTTTGGTAGTCAAAGAGTTTGGTTGTAGCTGAAAGAGAGCTTGTTCTTCAGATGTAAAATTTATTATATAAACTTCAGTACTTGACTGTTGTTGTGAAAAAAATATTGTTTATAAGAGGTGCGTTTTTCAGAGGTTCGCGATATATAAAATAGTCAATGGCATTTTCTCCAGAAAAAAAACCTAAACAAAAAACCGCGCAGCCTGAGCAAAATCTCTTTCCATATCATTTCATCAGAGATGGCTATATGCGCTTATTTTCAGTTTTCACATGATATAAATTGTGTGTCGTTTTGCTGTGAGAAGAAGGAAGTAAAAACAAAATATCATCCATACATTGATGTTAGTAGCGTAAATATGAAATATTAAAGTAATTATGACAACGGAAAGTTATTTGAGCTCATATTGATCTTTACTGACATCAGTTAATGAGGGGACTAGTTTCAAGCACATCATTGACAATATTATAAGTACGTGAAAGTGGTACAACTACGTCGTTTAAGTATGTTCAATTCTCACAACGGATGTATTAGTGGACAATAATACATGTACATGTATTTGATGAACTGCGCTTCAAAATCATAATTGTGTCCAAAAATGTTGATAATTGTTAAAATGAGTGCCTGAATTAGTAATATAACTAATAAAGTTTATGTCATAATGACGGGAATTGTACTTTATACATGAGTCTATTATTAGTATTTGTCTAGTTATCTGTTACAAAGACAACATGCCGGACGTTTATAGTCTGATATTATGTATTTTCTCTTGTATTTGTATGCACACAGAGAATATGTAAATAAAACTTAAAACTTAAACATATACATTTTTAAGTTGATGATAGTATATTCAGTTTACTACAAGACTGGCTAATGAAGTGTTTGACCTTAAACCAGTTGCCCTTTCCCAAGCCATAATAACAAACATGTTCTTTTTATTTCCCATTTTCAAAAATGATATTCCCAACTAAACTGCAAAGCAACTTTTTGTGTTTTCTGATCGCAGATCAGGAAATACAATGCTGACATTCAATCTCAGGAACAGCGCTTCCAGACAAACCTTACAACAAAAAGCAGTTCTTAAAGATTAAAGCTATCGATGTAAAAGAAAGAATTGTTTTTATTTTGTTACAAGTATTCAGCGAATTATAACGCATTCAAAGTTTAAAAGTAGCGTTGGCTTATAGAATTGTCAATAAATGCACAATCACGCAAATGAATATCATTTTAATCAATGAAAATTGCTCGGCTATTTCCGTAAAGCTTCGGATTATTGTGATCGCCTATATTTAGACTGTCTGAAAAATAAAGTAAGGATGTTGACTCTAGGACAGGGACGAATTTAGGCAGTCGACGATCGATAATCAATTTCTACCATAAGTAACGGTCTTATAATTAAACCCTCGGTAATTTATTCCACGTAAACAAAGCGCTATTTTACGTGTTACACAAAGAGTAGTGAAATATTATATACATGAAGGAATTAGCCACGATATGCAAGGATAAAGTGTGGCTGTCATAAAAAATGTACATAAATGATTTCATAATGCAAGTTAGAAACTCTGGTCATGCAAAATTCCGTATGTATCAAACTCAAACTGTTATAGCAAAAAATCTAAACGCAGTTGCTGCAACTCGGTGCCCTGCAAGATGAATTATAGTATATCAAAATAAACTTATACATGAAAATACATACATGCAGATACTGTACGATTTAGATTGCAAGGATCAGAAAATACCACAGAGGTTGCAGCCCTTTGATTAAAACTTCTTCTTTTTTTATTTTTTCGAAAACTGAATATAGCAAAAAGGCCTGGGATATGTATCAAGTCCAACAATGACTTGTATTGATGGCATATCTATACTTTCTACTGTTAAAGTGATTACTTTTGTATATGCATATATTGATATTTGACTAGTATTTATATTAATTGTTGGCAGCAAATAAAATTATGCTCAATATAATGCAATACTTTTTGAAATAATGCTTAATTCAATGCATTCCTTTTTTAAATAATGCATCACTTTTTTCAAAATATCGTTATCCTTATTTTAATTTAATGCACAAATAATTTTGTTTAACTTGACCATAAAAAATAACTTCACTTAAAGTAGTTTCCAAGAATTGATGGGTATTGAAACGTTCATTGCGAAAATGAATAAGTGAAATGTTGTCACCTTATAAACAGCACAAATTCAATGATTTACAATTCTTGATGATTTTTATATTGAAATGATTTGTCCCATCCAGTTAATCGTGCGAATGTCCTACAAATGTCACTTGACAAAATCTTTTGTGGAAAAAAATGGTCTTAAAAGTTTGTTTCTGTAAATTTCAAAAGAAATGCATTCTTTATTTGTGAATTTGAATGTGGAGAGAGATCTTAATTAAGATGTAAGCATTTTTCATATTTTTGGTCCTGTGTTTTTTTACATATACTTTACTGTGGAAAAATATTTATTCTATAAAAGAAGATACTTAAACTATATTTTAACCCATATTTGATTAATGATGCAAAATAAAATGATTTAAGCATTTTAGTGTTTTGATATTGAGATTTTTTGAAACTTACAACATTGTAAACATTATTTTCTATAAACCCCACGCACAAAGTACCTCTCATTATCATTTTTCTCCTAAGAATTCTTTCAGTTATTGCATTTTCTTTTACGCTATGTATGAAAAGTACAAGTTTGATTCTTAAAAAAGAAGCATGCGAGAAGTCTTTTTGCTGTGGAGGATGTGTTTAATTCGAAAATATTAGGAGATATTTTTACATGACAGGCACAATGAATGAATGTTTATAAATTAAAATTATTTAACAAAAAATGAAATATATTATTTATATTGAATATAGTATGATAATGCAAGTCTGTTCTTCACATCACTTTTTTTAATGTTACCAAATAAATGGACATTTTCTTGGCGCATTAGGGATATTTTTTTTTACAAAGGGAACAATTTATGTTATGTTATCATATAAAAAGTAGTATCAAAATAAAAGTCTCTTGTAAAATTCAATAATCAAATTTTCGATTAATGTTTTGGTAAGTATATGGAAAAATTACCTCTGCAACAGAGATTTTCCAAAACGGGCATTAAGTATGTTAATAAAACAATTTTAAGTCCCAGATTTACATAAAAAATGTTTTCATCATTTGATTGGAATTAACAGTATATAAAGTTGCATGTCTCCAACCACAATATTTCAAGAAATTCAAACTTTGTGCCATTTGCGCCAAAAAAATCTTGTAGACTGGTTCTAATGACTTAAAATGCGATGCATTAGCTTCAATTTGATACGCAAAAATGGATGGGTCGGTATACTTTGCTGACGAAATTTGCAGACAGGTTAAACAAAAAAGGGTTCAATATAGATTATATAGGGGATGTTTAATCCCTTGTCATAAGGTGTGAATAGGCAGTTATGCTGATTTTATGCAATCTAGAAATAATTATTATTTGCAAAACTTTAGTAATTTAATATATATATATATATATATATTATGCTGTCAATTTACCCGTTTTAAATTGAGATAACTTATTTTGATATTAAATTCATTTTATGTTGTCATGTTAGGCGCTCTAAATTGAGATAATATATCATATGATATCAAATTCATTTTATGTTGTCCATTTAGATGTTTTAAATTGAGATCGATAAGATATTGTTTACATCAAATTCATTTTATTTTTTCAATTTAGACGTTTTAAATTGAGATAATATATCTTGATATAAAATTCGTATTCCTCTGTCATGTTCAAAAGCTTTTGCGTCAATGTTAAACAAGAATCAATCTATGAAAGATTTTTTGTACAATCAGAGGTGAATGTAATGTTTTAATCCATTTTATTGTGAGCGAAAGAGATTGTGGTTTGACAATGGTTTTGTATCAATTTTTACAATTTTTGTTAATATCTGTAACTGAACAGATGAACCAGTTTATTATCTGTGTCATACGCTCATTGCTTTTTTAGGTTACATGGAAACATATCAAAATATAGTTTGACAAAAATTCGATGTGATATCTAGTAATAATTATAATGTAGACATAATTTATATAGGTTCAGCTGTATTCAGCCACGTGTTGTAACTTTGTTTGTTTATATTCAGCCACGTGTTATCACTTTTTGTTCTATATTCATCAAGGTGTTATCACATTTTGTTCTACATTCAGCCACGTGTTTTTGTTCTATATTCATCAAAGTGTTATCACTTTTTGTTCTATATTCATGCACGTGTTATCACTATTTGTTCAATATTCAGCCACGTGTTATCACTATTTGTTCTATATTCATACAGGTGTTATCACTATTTGTTCTATATTCATCCAGGTGTTATCACTATTTGTTCTATATTCATCCAGGTGTTATCACTATTTGTTCTATATTCATACAGGTGTTATCACTATTTGTTCTATATTCATCCAGGTGTTATCACTATTTGTTCAATATTCAACCTCGTGTTATCACTATTTGTTCTATATTCATCCAGGTGTTATCACTATTTGT